CGATCCAGGGTCGCACGGGATCCTTCTGCTGCTCGTGGCTTCTGTATACGAAGGCAATGCCGTACGGCTGCAGTGGGACAGAGGGTAAGGCTGTGCACGTCGAACTGCATAGAATGACGTGTCCAACGCAGCATCATGTGAACTCAATCACTAAGGCTGAGCTGCTGCAGCAATTTGCTAGATGGTGCAGAAAGTAGCGGCGGTCTTCACGTTGTCTTTTCTGAAGCATGTGCCAACTCAACAGCTCGCACAGGAGGCAGAGGATGCAGAGGACGCTCTGAACTTTTTTGCTCTACGGAGGCAAGGTGCTGCTGCGTGGTCTGCGGTTGCGTATCTGCCGTTCCCTTGCCTTGTGCCGTCACTTATCAGCTCAGCAAAACCTACAGTCCATTGCGTTGCAGATGAGTTTGGTTGTGGCTCAAGCGAAACATCATTTCAGATCTTTGCTGACCCTTTATGCTGCAGGACCGATCTCGAGAAGAAGCGCTTGTCAAAGGCCATACAGAGATTTGCAGAGATTACCCAGCGAAGGGACAAGATGGAAAGTGTGTGAGTCGTGTTGTACGTCATGGCACTGTTGACTCGCGGTCGGTGGAGACTTTCAGAATCGCAGCGGACATGTGATTTCAGACAGCCCAGTTACACGACGAGTTTACTTGGTCACTGGTGGCTGGTTGGATTCCAGCCTGTGCAAAATCTCCCCGTTGAGTTCCGGAGTTCTGTCCCCCTCCCTCCCTCCGGAGGCTGCCAATACACACACACACACAATCTGTTTGGGATGGCCATGACCCTGCCCTTTGTGAGCCTGGCGATGGGCGAAGGGCACATTGTACATGTACATGCAAGTTTACGCTGCCTCTTATCCTTGCTTGATGCTGCTCTGCCTGTCAGTTGCAGATTTTGATGAGGAGCATGCGGCAAAACCAGAGTTGAGCGAATGTTGGGATATCTTCACCCCTCACAGGCTTTAACTTTAACGAGTGAGTCAGGTACAGGGGGTCGAGACGCCCTCCCAAGTCCGCTACGTTGGATATGCGTGAGCCTTACCTGCCAGCCCGAAGTGCAGGAGATGACAGTTGTCCTACGTTAGGACATTCGGTTTGGGTCGTTGCGTTCTTTAGTTAAGCTTGAACGTACTTTCCCAGCATGGCACTGTCGGGATCTGTCGGGCTTCAGGCTGAAGATCGCAGTGTCCGCTTTTTCTGGTTTCACAGAGGTGGACCGTCTGCTACGGGAGCAGATGGCGCCAGCAGCTCTGAGCTTCTTCCTTGCTTTGTCCGTGGAACCACTTTATCCGCTACTTTTCTTCAGAGGTGACTCAGGGTAGCTTCCGCTGTGTTGGTCTTGTTTGGGTCTCCTGTGATGTGCCTTCGTCTACGACCGCAAGGCGTGAGCATAGTCATTTACTAGCATTCAGGTACTTGCCTTCACTGGTCAGCGTGCCACCATTGGAGGAGGCAAAACTCCTGCAGCAGTCCGTTGGGCTTCCTGTTCAGCTTGGGCAGGTGCTGCTGGTCAGCGTGCAGGCCACCAAGTTTTTCACCGAGCAGTTCGAAATGCTGCATCGAGGCCTTGGAGCTTTTCCAGTACCGTGTTGAGCCGTATATCTCATGGGTCGTCCACTGTAGATCGCCGATACCCGGTGAAAGAAGAAGCCTACAAGAAGAGAGCTTTAACATGTTAAGCCGTCGAGAACAGTTCTCTTGCACTCAGCCACTGTCTTGAAGTGCAGTTGTTGGATTGGCCCGCCAATGAGCGAGCATGCCGGTTTGCAGAGCGATTGCACGGTGGAGATTCGGGTGGCCGCCGTCCCTCTAGGGATCTGAAGTTCAATGAGACAGTGCACAGTTTTCACAGGCCATCACCTCGTGGCAGTGCTACAGGACAGCCCAGCTGACAGCTGCCGGATGTGTGAGTGGCAGTCTTGCCAGGTCTCCCACTGTTAAGTTCATTGTGTTGTTCACGTGATCCATGTCGGCGCTTACGTTCTGCAGGACGCAGGCACTGGCAGATCAATCGCATCAGCCCTCGGCCAGAACGCTGGAGATGCCAAGGTGCGGGCAACGGTGTGACAGGTCTCGATGCGAGAGCAACTCTAAAACCTAGACATGGCGTAGTTGCAGTCCTCCTGGATTGCCTGTTGCAGATTCTTTCCTTGCTGCCTCGAGTGTGAGGGTCGACAGTCCATGTTGTTTATCACCACCGCTTCCTGTTTTGGCCAGATCTGGCATTTTGGCGAAGCAAGACTAAGTGGGAGCCTTTGAAAGAAGTTCTCCGGTGTGAGAGAAGCAAGCAGCCGGCCAGTGGTGTATCGTTTTGTGAAGAGCTGAGTTACTGGTAGCAAGTCTGTCGTGATCTTGTATGTGGCAGCCGCCGAGGCGGTGATGTTGGTCTAATCGTGCTGCCTGGCAGCAGATGTACAATGTCCTTGTGTGCAGCATGCACAGTCAGTTTTGCCACGAAGTCACAATACCTAACACGGCTTTACCTCTGCGGGTCGCATCCCAACTCAGCTGCAGCTTTTGTGAGGTACACGTGCCACCCCGACGGTCTTCCCATGGACAAGGAGCAGGCGAAAACTTCCTTCCGGTCTGTGAGCGGGGCAAAGCTGATAAGCAAATCCCTTCGGAATGCCAGGCATCTGCCCTCATTTCAGAGGGAGCATGGCCAGGCTCGGGCTTGTCGTTAGTTTGAGCGGTGCCATTGTTCAACATGTCCGAGTTGACAGCGAACCCCACATCCAGACAACAGATCTCTGCATCTCGCATCGTGGTTTTACACATCCACAATGGGGGAACTTGATCTTGTGGCAAAGAGTTGGCCGGTAAGCAGCATCTACAGCGTATGTTTATGCAGATGATGTTATTTCAGCTGATGTCTGGTTTCCAGTAGTAGCAGCTCCTGGTGCTCCTGCAGCAGCAGCAGCTGTATAGGATGATACATGCACACTTCTTTGTCGTGCTGCACCCATGCCAGGCTTCCGCGAAAGGGTGCCCCACTGTTAAATATGCCCTCCAAGTTCCTTTCTGCAGAACTTGCGCAGCAATGAAGCGGAGGTATCTCATGTCCAATCCCAACCCCGCTTCTGAGGGGAAACGCAGTTGAGTGAGACAGAGAGAACAACGGAGCGGATGAATTCCTGTACAATTATTATGTTTTGCACAACCTCAGATGACGAGCTTTCGACGGAATTCTCCCCTCGCTGTTTGTTTCCTGCGCAAGTACGCACATGCGGACAAGCGTGTTTCTCTAGGTTGAGCAGTATCTTGCAGAGCCGCGCAGCTGTCCAGGATCGGGGAAACGCAAGCTCAAAGAAGCTTTCGGCTGCTTTGCCGCTCGGTCTGTGCTTCCGGTTTCGATAAACTTCAAGAAGTGAAGAAGGTTTAACGTACTGAAGACCAGAGTGTCGCTGTGCTTCTGTCTGCGAGGTAGGCCGTCATTAAAGCATTCTGCATCTTTCGAGTCCCTACACATCTCCTAGCAGCTTGCCAGTTTCATGTCAATTTCCTGGACGGCGATGTCCTCGAGATTCCGGCAACCGAGACGGACCAGGCTAAACATGAAGATCATGTTCGCACGAACCCGGTGCAACCCTGCCAAGATGTCAGGCGTGCAAGCGGCCCGAACTGTTCTGCCCGAAGGGCGTCCTCAACTTCGTCTACAAGCGATCATGAGATGTGCGAGAATTGTTTTAAAGCTGTCAGTCTGCCTTTTCCGTTGCCTCTGACAGAACTCTTTGTCAGAGAAGCAACAAGTCATCGTCACGGGGAGTGTGCGCTCCGAGTTGTCACGAAGTGACCTGGAAATGTTTGTGCGATTCCGAGTCGGGCATGTGGCGGGAGCTGTGGTTGGTCTTTTTTTGCTGCCGGGTAGTAATTTGTTCTCGTCCTGGTGCTGCTGTTGGGGGCGGTGGCGTTTGAACGGGTTTGTGCTGGCGGCACTGGGTGAGGGGAGGGTGGTGGAGTTGGTCGCAAGTGATGTTTTTCGGCATATTTCAGGGGTGGCTTGAGGTCTTGACTTGCTGCTAACCAGAGTCGCATGGCTGATTCGTGCACGTGTCAAGACAAGCAAGGAGCCCTTTGTGTCGATTGGTGGTGAACGTCTTGGCTGGGACATGTTGGCTGCAGTGCGGCAGCTGCTCCTTCACCGTTTCCATGTTTGGGCATGCTCAATAGTATAGGTTTTTGAGGTTCCAAGCTGAAGGAGGCCAGCGAGACAAGCGGCCCATCATGCAGTAGCGTCCCAGCCTGACAGTGGCATTCATTCGACCAGCAGCTCGAGCTTAAGTGGTGTTGTGTAGACTGAGCAATGAGCCGCCACGGGACCATCTGCACATAGAGCACATGGCGATCAAGGACATGAACTTGTTGCCAATTCCCGCACCGATTCGCCCTTCGCATTTAGGCTGAGTTTTGGATGCAAATCCGCGTATTGCATCCTATACCGGTACCTACATTGTGTGACCCTGCAATCGATGGAAAAGTGCCAGGAGCCAGAAGATGCGAGCCTAGGCCAGGATGGCACGGGGACTCCTGTACGGATGCAACGTTAAGAACCCTGCATGGCATTCCCAGCACCGATTTCATGGCGGCCAAAAGCAACTCGTGCTTCTTCAGCAGGAAGGATTTGGAATTCATCCGCGTTTGGGCACATCCATCATTCGGTGAATGCTCGGGTTCGTGTGAAATCTGAGCCTACGTACACCTTACACCTCAATTGTTACTTGTTGCATCATTTCAGGGAGATTTCCTTTTCACTGACGCATCGCTTCCAGATGCTGCGAGGCTCCGAATCGACTTCAGCACCAACTGCCATCTCCTCGAAGTTCTACTGTGCACTGCCTTCTGCATTCTGTTCTCACCAGCCCTCACTTAAATGAGACGAAGCGTTTGGCTCAAAAGAGCCAGAGGGATTCCGAGAACCCCCTGGGATCCACCTGGGTTTAGGCCCACTTCATAGAGAGCCGCGTCCTGCTCGGGTCTCCTTCTTATGTTTGCAAGATGTCGTTTTGGGTTGGCCTGTCCCTGCTGTTCTGCCTTCCTCGGCAGAACCTCGGCGACCTCTGCGAGGAAGAGAGAGCAGAGGTGATGCTCCTGCAGTCCCAGGTCCGAGTGGAAAGCTCGGTTCTTGACGTCCGGTTTGTGGGGCGCAGCTTTTTCTCCACGGATCCGGTGAGCTCTGCTGGATGGTGGCTGAGATACAGCACTTCCCACTCTCTGAATGTGTATGGCCTGCCGGTCATGGGCCTGGTGGAGGCCGAGGCAGCGGCAGCCGTTCAGATCACTTCTCCGGAAGGCAACGTGGAGCAGCTTTACTTTCTGAAGGCACCGAGTTGGAGGAGCGAGCAGAACTTGACCATGGAGGACTTCGTGAGCGCAGCGGAGATGTCCTGGGCTACGGTGATGGATAAGAAGCAGCTCTATACCCCGTGGACGGACTATCATGACGGCCATTTGGTGGACACGATGAGGATCGATAACTTTCAGGCAGACAGGCATCATTTCCAGAACTATGTCCCGCAACAAGTGAACGAGTCTACGAAGAGAGTTATCCGCGCCTACATCCCTAACACGACCTGGACCATGGAATGGTTGGCAGGCTTCGGCACGTTGACGACGCTGCCTCTGGAGTATATGGATACAGAAGCTACGGCAGATCCAGATGCCTGCCGGAAAGACGATCGCCCAACCAAGAGAGACATGTGGTGGAAGAGTACTTTTGCAGTGACCAACGCCTCTACTGCTCGAGACTTTGCCATCAGAATTCTGGGAGCCACCCCTGCAAGTCCTCCGTTTCCATGGCCACCGAATAAGGACTGCATCTCAGCTCAGTGGGTCACCTTGCCTTACAGCGGCCGTCTTGACTGGAAAGCCTTGCAGCTGCACTTCGTGGAAGATCCTGTCTACCGCAGTACCTTGCACGGCATTCCAGCGTTCCATCAACATCAGCAAGAGTTCGCGCAAAGCCACAGAGACTGCATCAACAGTTTTATGCTCAATAACCTGGTCTTAGAGGCCGAGTCCTTGGATCCCTTCATCAAACGCTTATCGCAGGCCTCTGCAAGCTACCTTGTCTCTCAGGTCCGTGTGGCGAATTCTAAACATAACGCCAAGTACGCCTTGATATTCTCCTTTCCCGGCAATGAAGGGGTGACCATCCAGATTCGCAGTGCACATGTGAGTGCTGCCTCCCCTACACCTTTCAGGCTGTGTGCGTAGCGCACACCTGAAGGTTTTGGGTCGTGGGGATGTATGCCTCCAGAGCATCTACCGGGTCAGCTGCTTCGATATGTATGGTATCTCCCAAACAGCATGCGTGGCTTCCTGCTGCGCTGTGGCCTCGTACTGGTCAACACCTGGTGCTCTTGGCTCTGTCCCAGAGCTTCGCATGCATGGAAGCTCGTGATTCTTGGTCGCTGCGAGACACCTGCTGGAAGCAAATCATCAGACCTTCTTTGGTGTGTGTTTCATGTCATTCCTCTGTATACTTCTAACAGTGGCTGCTGGGACGCGGCTGACGTGCGAAGCTAAAAAACTATTCAACTTGTAGGCATCATCTTTTGTTATCTCTCTCTTGTGCATACCGCTTTCTTCTTTGGCCTTCACGCTTCGCAGACGCCAGCCCACTAATATCACTGCAGCAAGCAAGACCTCATGAAGCCGTGCCTGCCTACGTGCGAGTGTGCGAGTCGAACTGATACGAAGCTCTCCGCAAGCTGGTGACCATCTGCGGGCTCAGAGTTGGATGCTAGGCTGCTAAACTCGCGTCCACTGCCTCAGCCTTTTGGGCTCTAAACCTTGCAGGAAGCAAGGCGGACAGCATGGCACTGCCTTCGCTGCATGTGCCATGCTCTGGACAAGCTCGGCCTGGCATTACACGCAGCTGGAGGTTGTGGACAGTTGGCTTGAGTGTCTTGCGTCCGCCGCTTGATAGCTTTCAGGCGCATGCAGTTCACCGGTCTGAACTCGATACATGGGCTCAAGGCGCTGTGTAGTTTTTTGGCTGTAGATATGCCTGCGCAGCCAGTCATCAGCGAATGGTGATCCGCGCTTGCGCCTTGCATCTCTCGGGGTTACGCTGTACCACTGGAGATGGCAGACCATTTGTCACCGGACATTTTCATCGCTTGCTTGGCGGGTGAGAAAGGAAATGTTGGCAGGACTGCGAGCTCGTATGAGACTGCCTGCTGTGCGATAGGCCATGAGTTGTAGTGCTATAGTGCTGTTCACCGGCTTTTTCACACCAGAGTTGATCGGCATGTGTGCTATTGCGATCGATTGTCAGGATCGTGGACATCGTGCGCACTGCTGAGCACGCCATTTGTAACTTGCATGAGCTTCGCTTGATCTATTCGTCGGCTATGGACGTTTACCCGAAGGCCACTGGGCTATCCTTCCGCCACTGCCGCCGCTGCGCGAGAATTCATCATGACTCATGACAGATCCGACCTTGCTACCCTGAGGTCGAGGACGCGGGCTATCGAGAGCTCTGTGTCAAGTACATGCAGGTGCTGTGCGAGCTGGATACCAACGAAGCACGCGAGTTTCACAACAGGCAGCGTGCTTTCGGCATCACCAGTGATGCACGGATGTACGAAGCCCGTGCTCGCTTGGAGGAGCGGGAAGGGGACACAGCCAAGGCTTTGAAGATCTTGCAAGAGGGTCTTCGCATCGGAGCAGGGCCTCCCGACCGATTGACAGCTCAGATCGCGGCCTTACACATGCGGCGATCAAAGCACTGCGATGCAGAGATCCAGCAAATATTGGAGCCTCTAGAGGCTCAGACGGAAGCACATGATACCACCATGGAAATTGAGGCGGAAAGCGTTCCGCCGATTCGGAGGGTCCATGAGAGACCGCTCATTAAGATGCGATCATGGGCAGAAGGCTCGACTCAAACAGAGGTGGCAGTCGACAGGAAGCCAGGCAACCCTTCGGCCGACAGATGTCTTCAACGATGGTTACGAGTTGAATGCAGGCGCTGCCTGCTTAATTCTTTCGGTGCTTGGAAGAGACTGGTGGACACATCTGCCCAAATGCGGCGTGAAGCATTGTTTGATGCCCTGCGTGGACAATTAGACTCAGCCCAGCGGCGATGCCGAGCAGCGGAGCTTTGCCTCGCCAAGGGTCAGGCAGAGGCAGGTGCGATCTGCTTGCGGGCGGGGCTCCGAGCGTGGAGGTCACTCGCCAGGTTGTGTAGGCAGCGGGCGAAGCTCGCAGATGCAGCGTATCAGGAGTTTGTGCGACGGTCGGCAAGCTTTATTCTTTGGTCCTGGAGGACATGCCTTTCTTCAACCCGGGTCGAGGACTTCGAGAACTCGGAGGGGCCGGAGAACACAGCCTTGGACTGTCTATTAGTGGACTTCTGTCCCAACTTAGAAGAGGACATGACCGACGAGCCTTGCCATCAGACAGACCTCTGCGAGAAGCCTGCGGCAGGCAAGCCAAGCGGTGTGGCGGGCTTCGCTTCTTTCGAGCGGCAGCCGCTTGCGAGTGTCGCCATACAAAATGCTCGCTACACTTTGGCAGATGCAGAGGATGCGAAGCGCATGCGGGGACCTGAGCGGTTCTTCTACGACACATCGAGCTATACTGGTTGTGCGAGGTATGGGGGGCCGATGATAGTCGACAAGAAGGAAAATACTTCTGGACCCACCAAAACAGGTACGTCTGGCAAAGTGGCGCAATGTAGTGGAAATCTGGGCCAGTCCCAGACAAAGCGAAGCAAGCCGTTTCTGCCCAGATAGGTTACCTGCCGTGCCTAAGCCGACGATTTGTGGTGTCGGCTGCACGTATTGCTAAAACATGAGACCGGCTTACAACAAGCTTAACCTATAATTCGTTCTGCGGAGATGCTGTGTGCTCCGGACTAATTCACTGAAAAGTGCTTTGCAGACGCCTTGCTGGGCTGCTTCAGCAAAAATCGGCCAAGCCGCGCGCCAATCGTGAGCCTGTTTGCGCCAGCAATGAAGCAAGAAAGCCATCTGGCGCTGCGGCGGGTCGAACTGGCAGGCGAAAGCCCGGTTCGCTGCTTCCGGCTCTGCTGGTCGGCTTGGCAGCCGCGAGCATCGCAGGCTGGTCCTTTGCCCAGGCCTGGCTCGTCCGCTGCCCTTGGCGGCATCGTCGCGACTCACCTCCCGACAGCTAGGTCTCCGGCCGTGCAGCCGGTAGAATGGAGTCTCGCTGTGCGTGCTGCGCTGTGACGGATGCAGAGACAGACGCTGCGACCACAGGCACGGTGCGATGCAGAGTGCAAGTGCTCGCACACTTCAGGGCTGTGTCCAAAGCATGAACACGTTACTTATGTTTGGTGCTCTGTGGAGGCGCAAAGACAGAGAACTTGGAGATGCCGTCCTTCGAACCCAGAGATGTCGGCAGTGCCGAGCAGCTGTCCGTCTGAATTTGTTTGCGGCACCGTTGCACGGCAGGCTCCAAGGCTTGCTCACGTGATTGTTTGCGGAGTTCTGTTTCAGATTCCCGCTCGGACAGTCGATGAGGGCTTTGCAGAGGCCGCTGTTCCTCCTGATTGCTACTTCTAAACAGTGTGTTGCACTGGCCGGTTAGAGTGGGCAAATCTGAGGCTGATGCTGAGCCGCATGCCAGCGGGGTGCCTTGAATAAAACATCGGCATGATTTCCACTGAGTGTGTCACTCGCCATGTCCTGCTGCTGCGGTAACTGGAATGACTGATGCAAGGCTTTGCAAGCTCAAAGCCTCATGTTGATAGCTGCCAGAAGCTGTGTTGGACCGTCTGTGATGCTGGTGACAACGATTCGGCGGACATTGGTTCACTGCCTGTTTCAGGCACATGATCACGACGCACACCTCCTTGGCCTTGTTGGAGGGTTGCTGGGCAGCAGGTTGGCATGCGGTCAGAACTGCATCTGTCAAGTCATCCCGTAAAGCGACAGGCCCGGACGTGTTCTCAGCCCCGGTCCTAGGGTCGAACCCTAAATGTCTAGGATTCCCTGGGCCCAGGGTAGGGCTCCGAGTTCAGAGTGATGAATCCTTGGACCCCTGGACGTAGATCGCTCAACATTGTCCAAACGTTGCCTGGCGGACTGTTAAGCATTGCAATGTAGGCAGTTACAGCATGGAAGGAGTCGATCAAAAAAAGAGCTCTGGAGGGCCGATGACAATCCTGAAAATTCTCTGCTGAAGAGCGTGCACTGGAAATTGGCGCACAGAGCCCAACAAATCAATTGCGAGAGGATGCGAATCTGTATGGTTTCGGACATTCAGATTTGCCGTGAGTTCCAAACTCAAACTCCCACAGTCCTACAACCTCATCTGGATGTCTTCGAGCTGTTGGAGTCGAAACGCCTCCAATGCAAGGACAGGTAGACGTCGAGCGGCTCAAGAAGGTGCAATTCGCTTCCGAGTGAACTCATTCGGGTTTTGTTTTGCCATACAGTGTGCGCATAGACAGCATGCGGACATGGCATGATGCCGGCAGGATGCAGGGACACAAGCATGCACAGAGAAAGAGAGCGAGAGACTGAAGGAAGGGGCAATCCTCTACCACAACCCTGGCGACAAAAAAGTGAAGGAAGGCAGGAAGGAAGGGAGGGAGGAAACCTGAGAGAGAGGCAGAGAGAGAGAGAGAGAGAGGGAAACCTCTACACCATAACCCTGGCGAAAGAAAGAGAGAGTGTGTGTCTATATATATATATATATATATATATACTGCGCCGATGTATATGTATACAGTGTGTACATACATACATACATACATACATGCATATATGTGTATGTACATATCTTAGACACACACACACACTATGTATGCATGTATGTATGTATGCAAGTATGTATGTATGTACGTATGTATTTGCGTGTGTATGTATGCTCGCGTGCTAAAGAATGTAAGTATGTATGTAAGTACAGCATGTGTGTATGTGGGTATGTGTGTCAACATGTGTGTGTGTGTGTGTTTATCTCTCTCTCTCTATATATATACGCGTGTGTGTGTGTCTCTGCCGGTGTGCATGCTGTATCTGTCCATCTGTTTATCTATCTAGCGCACAATCATTGCTGTCTGTCTGTATGTTCGTCTCGGCAAAATGCTTCTTGACCTGCATTTACATAAGACTTTACATATATGTGCATGTGTTCTGCCTGTTCGCATGTAACCTTCCCAAATGAGCTACCCGGGTGCGGTTGTGTTCTACATTGCGCATCATGAGTCTTGTTGGAGTCTACATTGACATAAATCTTGGCACATCAATGTCAGCTTCAAATCGCAAGAGCCCCATAATATCGAGATTTGTAGCCTGGGAAGGCGACTGGAGATCAGGAAGTATGGAAACAAACCTTTGTTGGCCAGCAGACGAACTAACAACTGCGGTAAGTTGGAGTTATCATCCTGTCAGCGCGGTCTAGAATCTAGTGCAGCGCTTGATTCAACAACACACTGCGAAAAAGCGTAGTTCTTCGCACGCCCAAGTCTTAGGCACAAGCAGCCCTCGTCTCACAATGTCCAGGCTCTTTCTTGGGCGATTCTGCGGCACCCCATGATGCGAGCGACAGCACGTGAACCAACGGTGCTCGGCAAAGACACAGGCGTGGCCAGATTCACATTAGGACGGCTGAGAGTACACACGATGGGTTTACGATAAGCCAGAGGGGCATTCCTTGTATTTTCACTTATGGACCGCGGGCTTAGGACAAAGTAAACAGGAGTGGCCATGGCCATCTCTTGTATGCAGGACCCTTTTTTCACGGAGGCCAAGACGGCAGGCAGCACCACTTCAACATGCGTCGTGTCGCTGTGAGTGGACGGGAAATGATGGAACATGTGAGATTGGGCGCGAGTCGCAGGTGGCGCTGGGAGCCCACAGGTCTTGGCAAGGAAGAGCTCACCGAACGGGGCCTCATGGTCGAGGATGTGTCTTGGCCTCTACAGGGGCGACGCAGTGAGACATAACAGTGATAGGAAAGCACTCGCCTCCTGCCGGTCTTGCTCTGCCATGCCTCAACTGAGAGCAAATCGCGAGGTAAGCGGCGACTTTGATTCGAAGTGTGTGGCACCCAGCAGTAGTCCCTAGAATTGAAAGCGTCTGCAGCACATTCAGCTGGAGGCAAAGAACACTTTGAGCAGTCCTTGGACAAGACAACCTTCGACTTTGAGAATGGCCCGCTGTGGAAGCTCCGATTGCTCCGCCAACCAGGTTTCCGAGGTCCCCGTGGCGGACGCCTCCTGTCATGCACAACGGTACAAAAGTAACGGCCGGTACTTGCTCGTCCAGGATTTTGCGGGGATGTTGCCCCCGTTGCACCTCTCAGGCAGCGCCTTGCTTTTCAGCTTCGTCCACTCCATTGATGACCAGAAGAGTGCCAACATACTGCTGCACCTTGGCGCTCAAGTGCGATGAAGCCTGAAATGTGGGGGCGAAGCGGGCGAGTTTGAAGGAACGTGCTGGTCCTGTCAGGCACGATCTCCTCTCCCATATGGAGGCCGCTGAAAAAGGCCTGCTGCCTAGTTCTCTGCAGTCTTCGACTAGCTACTTGCGGCACGCCAGCAGAACGAAACTGGGGTTCCATTGTGCAACAAGTCACCGCCACATGAAGTGCATTTTACACTCAGCTACAGCTCGTTGGGGAAATTTTCGTTTACTGGCTGGCATGTTTTGTCAGCAGGTTTGCGCAGTGCCACGCTGCTAGTGCCACTGCTTGCCGCAGGCGACCCAATTGAGGATCCCAAGCCTGCAGCGTTGCCAGCTTCCCTGGAGGTCCGTGCATGAGCATGTTTGTTCATCTCAGCCCTTTGTCTTGTCGGAGGGTTCCGCCACATGGGCGAAACAGAGCCCACTTGCCTTCGTGCATCCAAGCCCGCGATGGGACTATTGGTTGCAAGGACGTTTTCCTTCAGGATGAGCTGGACGTCCAGAAGTTGGCGGGATATGTGCGAGCCCCAGAGAAGCTTCACCCCACTTTCCCGTCGTGCGATGTGCCCCCCTTGAAACTCCTTGCCCGCCAGACAGTGAGCGCCAAGAGCAATATCAGAGCTTATGACCGCCAGCGATTATACACCTCTGTGCATCTTATTCGTGGGTCGAGTGCGAAATCGCCTCGAGCTTTCGTGAGGCTCTCTCACAGGCGAGTGCTGGCGCGGTGCCCTTCATGAAAGTTCCTTCCGCGCTTCGTTCAGCGGAACGAAATGTCATGCGCCCAGCATGGCCGAGTCGTCTGGAGCTTCTCCACAACCTCGAGCTCTGGATGCGGCTGAGTGGTGGCGTTCTCAGCGGCAGGTGCGGAAGAACTTCGGGCTCAATCCGGCTCAGCCCGTCGCGCAGGACCCGGTCCCCTGAAAGTTGCAGACTTGTTTCTCTCATTGCCGCACTTCGGCAGGAGAGGAACATGACGGTACCTACAGCTGCCGCAGAAGGGAACGCCAAGCTGCTGATGGCAGAGGCACTCGCTGTTGTTGTAGGCACGAGAGTCAGGGTTGGAGCTCTGCAGTTGTAGTGCCTGTGGTGTGGTGTTAGTCTCCTGCCGTGTTGATCGTGGTGTTGATCTTTGCGGGCGGCGGTGAATCCTTGGTCCCTGCATCAGCGTGCACAGGCCGTCTCGTCGGAGAGCGACTTCTGGTCTGAAAGCCGTACCTTGGCAGAGAACATCTCATTTCACAGCTGGGGCTCCCGCAAGAACATGCCACACATGCAACGACTGCAGATGTCCATGTCTGTTGTTGCGACCGCAGCGGCGGTGTCGGTGCTAGTGGCTGAGTTTTCCAGGTCTGGGCAAGGTTGTCTGAAACTTACTGTAGAAGTACTTGTGTGCCGTTAACGTCAGGGCTTGGCTGGGAATTCAATCTTCAGGAAAGCATCCTCCGCAGCATTCGTCCTCTCAGGAAGAAGTCGTGCCCCTCAATGTGTCAATAGGTAGTGCAAAGATTTGCCTTCCAGCTGCCACTGCTCAACTGAATGCACGTTTGAAGCTTTTGATTGACCTGTCCGGACTGCATCTCGTGATTAAGGCAAGAATGTCGTGACCTTCCGAAGCCTACCTGCGCAACATCTTTCACAACTGCGACAGCTGTGCAGAGAGAACAATGTCACCATGTCGAAAGCCAAGCTTTGGGTGCTTGTTTGGCCAATGTTTGGCCATGGAGCAGGGCAGAGTTTGTGCTGTAGACTGTAGATGTTGACGAGGTCCATGGCTGTGGCCGCAGCCGCATTACTTGCCACCAGCGACATCAGCAATGACGATATGGACAGGGTGATCATGATCACGCGATGTCCGAAAGCTGCTGACTGTAGCAAAAGTTCAGATGTTCGAGATAGATCCTCGCTTGCCTTGAAGAACATCGGCTACGGTACTTGCAGAATGACTTCCAGCAAACCGTCAGTCCATCGCACCATTTGGAGTTCTGCGTGCTGTTCATCGGTGGCTTTTGCAGAACATTCCCTGTACCGGGGTTCGTTTATCATGCCTGAGGACGTTTTCGGTTAGGAGAAACCAACCGGTGAGCTCGAAGCCATGCTCTCCCGTCCGGGCCTGAACACTTCAGATACTAGCAGGATGAAGGAACAACGGACCAAGCAACTGCCTGCCAGAATTTGGAATGGGAGAACCTGAACGCACAGGCCGCAGAGTAAACCCATCACTGCTCGGAGAAGTGGTCCCATGCAAGGCTGCTCCCTCGTGTATCATGAACTATCCTTGGCAGCTGCAGGACTTCGCATACGAAGCTTATCGTATGCTGCTGGGCACCCCAGCTGCAGAAAGCCCGCGCATGGAGATGTACCGCTGATGCCCGTGGTAGCAACGGCTACTCGCTCCCGAGGGGTCGACATGCGCCGGTTCGCCCCTGGCGGAGACTGGACGCGGGGAACCATGGCCTATGCCTCTGGTCGCATGGCTGAAAGACAGTTTGGGGAAAGCTAGGTGTCAGGCGGAGGCGGAGAGACGTGAGTCAAACAAGGCGCGCTGGACTTCACGCTGCGATTGTACCCTTGCTTGCAGAGCATGGCATGTACTTAGTACCTGTAGATGTGGGTGGCAGCTCATACCGTGTTAGGTTTTCTGAAGGCAACATGACCTGAGCTGCTTTCCCAGCATCCGAGGCTACCAAAGAGTGGCCAAGCTTATGCTGCAGAGCATGAAAATGCGAGCATACGTTCGAGAATAGGAGGCTGGGCATGTAGTCGGGCAAGAATGTGCTGTGAAGGAGAAGACCATATGGCGGCTAGTCAAAGAGCAACATTGATTCGAGGCGTTCCATTCTGGGATCTGGCGCGGGCAGCAGACTTGGCTGTGCGCGAGTGGGCAGAGAAAGGCGCGGTGAAGTATCACAGAGAAAGGGCTCACTCTAGCAGGCCTGCGGTCTTCAGGGTCAGTCATGTCGACGATGCCGGCACCCATGCAACAAGTCTGAAGGATATGCGGCTGAATCCACGCGGCTTTTTGACATCGGCATTCGCCTTCTGCGAATGGATACTGGGACTGTTCTGTCAGTACAGCTGCAAAGTGATCTTTGCCATTTCCTGCCGACACATCCAGGACAACATTATCCGGGAAACGGCCAATGATCCAAGTACTTTGGGTCGTGCCTACTCGGTCACTGTGCTCCTCTGATTCATTTGGCAGTCCCAGCGTGTGAATTCTCGCAGCAGGAACTCTTGCAGACTGGTCCGCAAAGGTCCAACGCCGGGATATATAGCCAGGGGCCTGACAATGGCAGCTACGGTGGCTTGACCAGGAGTTGTGTGTGTGATTGTTTTTTTTTAAATTTGGTCGGCTGCCTAACATGTGGAGCTTGTCCGGAAGTGTCATTCCCGTGTTCATCCTTTGTCGCCTCTGCGAAGGTAGCCTTCGACTAGACAAGATATTTTTCGGGATTTCTACAGCCATCAGTGGATCTTTGATGCTCCTTGGTGGAGGAAGGGCAAGCACAAAAGCTCTGCAGGCTGAAGGCCCTTCAGAGCCGGGGCCGGGTGCCCGGGTGGGGCGCGGTGAGGTCGGCTTCTTGCCTGACAGTCAACGGAGACCTTCTGATCACTGCTCACAGCGCAGCTCCTGTGGTCAACCGCTCGGACATGGAGTCTTGGCAGATTTCTCTGTTGTCATTCATGCGGTAGCATGGTGACGGTCATGACTTATAGTGTCCTGCCGTGATCATTCGGCGCATGATATTCAAGGTTTTTGCGATGCTCAGCTTGTGTTTTGACAAAGACATTGTAACCATACGACATTGCCACGGTCTTGTCGAAAATGGCTCTGACAGAAGTAGCATCGCGGTATACCGCGGAGAATAAACAGTCGTCGTCCCAGTAGTAATTCAGTAGTCGTCGTAATGGTAGCAGCAACAGGAGTGCGAGTAGATGTGGTAGTGGTGTTGTGGTGGCGGTAGTAGCAGCACTAGGAGTAGCAGTAGCAGTAGCCGTAGCAATAGCAGTAGCAGCAGTAGCAGCAGAATCGCAAGAGTCGCCTGCAGTGCGGAATCGCAAGAGTCCGACAAGTGGGAGCCAAAAAGTAGCAGTAGTAGTAGTAGTAGCAGCAGCAGCAGCAGTAGCACAAGTAGTCAGTAGTGGTGGTAGTGGTGGTGGTGGTAGTAGTGGAAGTGGTGGTAGTCGTAGTAGCAGTAGCAGCAGCAGGAGGAGGAGGAGTAGTAGTAGTATCCCTCGCAACAAGGTTGGAGTCGCAGCAGAAACCGGGGCATTGCAACAAAAGCAGTGTGCAGAAATCCTAGCGACAAAGGCAAAGGCTTAAAGGCTGCAGCCACCGCAACAGTGTTGATAGATGGCAGCTACGTCAACACGAAAATTACGCGTAATGAAACCATAAGTTTTTCTACAGTGTGTGCCGTTGAGAAGGCAGTCTGCGATAGGAGCAGATGCATGGTTATGCTGATGTTTTCAGTGGTAATGCTGCCAACGGAGATTTTACATTGGTGCCAGGATCAACAACTGTTGAGAAAGGACTGGCGTTGATCATGGAAGAAGTGGTAAATGCCCGGAAAAGCCCGAAGACAAGTGTCATGGGAACATGTACGACAGTATATGTCAGGTGTTCGGAGATGTTCTAGAGATGGCTCAGTTTTGGTACAGATCAAGCTGCAAACAAGGAGATTTTTGCAGACTCGATGATCCGATCGCTGAGCATCGCTGCCATGGAAACAGCGCCAAAAGCAAGTATGGGGACTCCTCCTGTAGCGTTGGCTGACAACCAGAGTTCAGTTGGTAAGCGCAGTGTCGAAAATGTGGAAGGGAATTTCCTGCTCGTCGTGATGCCATGGCCCAGGTAGAGAACCCAATCGATCCTCGCGGCGGCTTGCCATGGTACTATTTGCTGGAGACACCGAGCCTGGGCGCAAGAGGCTGCAGCTAGGCTGTGAGTCAGTTCTATCAACTTGCAAGTTGCAGCCAAGGAAAGGCACCCTGCAATGCCCCAAGTATGAGGATGTCAGGAGTCCAACTTTGCCTGCTTTCAACGTGGATAAATATGCCCTTCGACTGCACGAGCTCGAGACTCGAGCCTGGATCCAGTCTTCTCTTGACCAGTGCTTCAGCTCGCTGGAGGTTGGAGTGTGGTATGAGCTCGCCTTCCACGACATCACGCAGTGCAACGGATGTGGTTGTACTCGCTTCAATATGACACGACATGGAAACATCATCGAAGACATGCAGCTTGGAATGCATCGACACCTGGGTTTTGCAAAACAGGGTGCTGGGGCCAAATCCTCACGGATAGAGCTCAACGCAGACGTCTGCACCATGCACTTGCTCAAGGTTTACAGTGACATGTCCGTGGCCATGGAAGAAGGGTGTTGATGGACCGTGGCTTCCAGGGTACAATGCGAAGCTCTGATGCCATTAATCGAGCGTTGACCTCTAGCTGAGTGCTTCTTTTCCATTGTGTTTTGGGCCCACCAGAGTCACCAGAGAGTCTGATGAGCTCGTCCGGCAGAACTGCAGGAATGGAAATAGGAGGATGAACATGTCCAGACCTCGGTTGATGTGCTCGAATTGCATGGAAAAGGTTCGACCTGCTTGTATCGAGGTGGACATGCAACATGACCATGTACTACAAGCCGGCGGAGCCGGGGGTCATGTTGGAAACTGGGTTTGGTCAAGAGTTCCTAGTCTTGCAATCTGCAGGCTGCTTGTGTGCACTGCAGTCGCTGCAGTGGGCGGCCGCATAGCTAGGTTCGACAACATGGTCCTGGAGATTTGGAGCGATCCAGAGATCACTGCTGAGACTGGCTACGAATACACCAGGGCCATACAGTTCCAGTGCTTAGGCGTGCGGCTGTGGGCCGTTCCTTTTCATTTTCTCAGCAGGTGCAACTGCAGCAACTACTTGAGGGCTCGCGAAGTGACCGCAGGTTCGGAGCAAGATGGGATCACTTTTACTGGTATCAACTTTCTGTCCCGCATACCCATCGTCAAGCTACTCGGGGCGCACCAGGATTTCTGGCACTCCGCAGAGCCCACGACATCTTCTCTTGCGAAAGCGCTGCAGACTGCAGGTCATCCATGCTTCAAGAGATGTTCAACCGGGCTCGGGCGCTGGGTCTGGAGCCCTATGGCTCCAACGTGCGGTGCCGAGCATCCTGAGGGTGGACAGAACTTTGCTTTGAAGTGCCTCCCAATCCAGGCTAGATCTTAGCAAGCTTGCCGCAACAGATGCCAGTAGCAATCACGCAGCTGCATCGTGTGGAAAAGCCGTCCCTCTCCTCCTGAGGACATGCACGTCGTGGAGCATGCGGCGTGTTTGCATTCGTGGTGCTAGGCAGTGCTAGGACCCAGGCTATCATGCAGGTGCGCGAGGCAACATGCTGCACTCAGTTCCGGGTTGACTCCGGCAGCGTCGAGGGATGTGAAGGGTTTCAGCTGGACATCCCTTCACCGCTTCTTCTGCGGTTCACCGGCGCGTCATGTTGGGCATTTCAGATGACATGCCCAGGCTGGGTGCAGATACCCGCAGAGCACCGATGAGACATGGATGGGAGAGCGTCCAGAGTGGCCTTTTCCCGTATTCGCAGGCGATTTCGGAGCTCAGATCTGATCAGAAGACACCCTTGTTTGTGTCTTCTCGAAGCAGACCCTGCAGTTTAGGCTTATGCCTCTTCAGATGTAGCATGCCGTCTTCTGATCCGATTTAAATCTCGTAGTGGCACGAGGACGGACATCTGCCGTGAAGGCTTTCTCTCCAGCGGAATGCCGCTGACATTCTTTAAACGTGTTAGCGTAGCAGCTTGCGAATTGCAAACGCTTGTCTGGGTGTGACGGCGGGGCTGGCCTGGGTGGTACGAGCAAGTACGAGCCAAGACTGTCTTTTCTATCTCTTCTTTTTCTAAGGCAGTACTTCCTGACACTCGCTCCCAAGAACTGCAGATACACTCAGATACACACGCCATCGCAGCCTCGCCTGAAACACCGATGTTTTTTATGGCACGTGCCACGCGCGATGAGCAATGGGACCTGCAAAGCAAGCATGAAACCCTTTGGTTTGTGCGATGTGTTTCTTCAGTGATTGTGTGTTGCCATACAGGACATAGTCACAAAGAAGTAAGAGAACAACATTTTTGTTACTTGAGTGTTTGGCTTGCTTAAGCCAGTGCTGCTGTAGCCGTGGCCTTCACAGCACCCAGCGTGTCATGCAATGCAAGGTTGCGGGCTCTGCAGGAGCTTCGTCAGACAAGCCAAGCCCACCTGCCGGAGCAGGGCTGGCAAGGGGCCGAGAGTGGTGGCGTCAAGATTTAAGAACCGACGAGCGCAGCTGAGTACAGTGTGCCACGCGCTGGAACTGGCTGCAGGCCTCGCGGCCACGCGGGCCGCTGGGGCGAGCGCCTCCTGCAATCATTCTGCAGGGTATTGCTGCTGCTGGCATCAGCACTGACGGAGGCAAGCATGGCATCATGGTATGTGGCCCAGTGAAACTGAGAACGACCCTGCTCAGCTCACCAGGACCCGAACAGGGTCAAACGCAACTGAACCGATCAGGGTTCGACGCGGTAGGCAGGCTTACCATAGACGGCGCGTTGAGCTGCCCATGTTCGCAACCCTCGCCCTGACACAGCCTTCGTCTTGCTCACGTAGCTGTTGAGACGTGAAGATGTGTAGTTAGCCACACAGGCAGAAGAGGCTGGCACTTTACTGCAGTAGACCTCCGCATGCAAAGGCTCGTCAGACTGGGGCTGCCATACACGGCGAAGATGATATACGATCTTTCTTGCTCTGGCAGGTACACAGCCCTTGCTTCCCATCAGGTTTCATAGCTTTGTTTCGAATGGTCAGACACATTCACGCTCGCTCGCTCTCTCTTTCTCTCTCGGCCCCTCTTCTCTCTCTCTCTCTGTCTCGGTCTATCTCTCTCTCTCTCTCTCGCTCTCGCTCTCGCTCTCTCGCTCTCTCGCTCTCTCTCTCTCTCTCTCTCTCGCTCGCTCTCTCTTTCTCTCTCTCTCTCTCTCTCTCTCGGCCCCTCTTCTCGCTCTCTCTCTCTCTCTCGCTCTCGCGCTCTCTCGCTCTCTCGCTCTCTCGCTCTCTCGCTCTCTCGCTCTCTCGCTCTCTCTCTCTCTCTCTCTCTCTCTCTCTGCCCTCGCTCACGCAATCACATGCATGCACCATGCACTCTCTCAATCACTCACACGCATATGCACATTGGGCACGCAGAGCCACACTCCGTGCGCAAGGCAGAGCTAAGCTTGAAGGTGAGATCAAAAGCTTTTATGCAGAACGAGGCCTGGAACTCTCCTTCATGATTTTTAGCTCGCTTGCAAGTTCGTGCTCGTCATGTGCTGTGATCAGTCACGATCAGACGTCGCCTCTCGGAATCGGAATCCAGAAACTGGCACAGGCTTCGGCTTCATCTCATGCCAGAAAGTCTTCGAGATGATGAGGTGTGTTGGCTGAGTTGCTGATGTGCCTCATTCGCAGCTTCTGCCGAACTCGATGCCGTGCAACTGCGAGACAGTGAGGTAAGTTTTTTGCGATCCGATCAAACTCTTTAGTTACTCGTAGCACGCCTGCAAGGCGACTCGAGCACCCTGTGCGACATGAGCGCTCTAGCCGAGCCAGATGCTGACGACTCCCACTCATAGACTCAATGCCAGGTGTGATGTCTACTTCACGCTTAACGAGGTCTTCGACGTAGAAGCTTCGCAGGCCATGCTAGCTAAACTCTCGGAAGGCGTTTCTCTTCAATAATGCATGTTGTGGTACAAGGTTTCGGTAGTTTGTCATGCGGAAGCTGTTCGTGTCCTGTGCATGTTGCATTTTCCGTGGAGCCATCGCCGACCGGAGGTGGAAGAGAAGGTGCGCAAAGGGGTCAAGTGCAGCTTTTTCTTCACTCTGAACAAGGACAGCCGTCCACAGGCACGGGGGATAAACAACACATAGACACAGACTGTAAAGAATGCGCTTTAGCCACTTTAGCTATGCAGTTTGTTCTCGCGGTTGGTCGGTGGTTGAGCCGCAGTGCAAGTATGACGGTACGAGGCATGCGGGATGCGCCGCGTAGCAGCTCGTAGGTAACTGCGTGTTATGCCATGGGCGAGGCTGCTGCCGAGCCAGATGCAACTATGACAGAGGAAGTGACGACGGTGACAGGTCAAAGCAAGACATTCCCGTTGCAGGCCCGCGTTGTCCGCCTGCAGCAAGGCGCAGAAGACGACGACAGGCCAACATCCAGAGAATGTCGCGTTGCCGATCTGCTCCAGTGCAGCTGCGGCTATTCAGGGCGTGAGTGGCTGAGGTTTCAAGGTTGGAGGTTTCCAGCTGTGAGAGGTCGGCAAGTCGAAATGCTAAGTTCGACAAGACTGATGCCGAAGACAAGAAGTGCCCAACTGGGCATGGGTCAACTTCGGAGGAGCGATGCTGTTGCTCGTGCTTGGTCGGGCTCACTACCTGCGAGCCAGGTACAGTGGCCGCATCAAGTCCTTCAATGCTTCCAAAGGCTACGGGTTTATCAGCTGTGATGAGACGTCAGGGCCGCAGTGGCTGTTAGCACAAGCAGGGTTTGAGGGAAAGGACTGGAGCACTCTTCAGCTTCGTGCCCAAGCAGTTGAGGTCAAACCAGCCAAAAAGCAGTAGCTCCAGCCTACATTTCTCCAACAACCGCCTCTCACACCGAGGCATGCGAGATTCAATCGTGATGTCTTCCTCCACCATTCGCAGCTGAATGGTCTGAAGGCTGGCATGTGTTTGTGCAGTCGCACCATGTGGAAGCATGCAGCATGCTGTCTGTGAGGCGGGTGATGAAGTTCACTTCAGAATCTTCGTGGACAGGACGAAGGCCGGTGCTGTGCTGGGAGGTCGGAAGGTCGTGGCTCCGGGCCACCGGCCGGAAGAGGGCGCGAAGCATCCCTGCGAACGCGCAGCATGCCTGCAAAATTCATTGGCACAGGCAGATGCACAGGCCAAAGCCCTTGACGTGCAGGCGCGTCGTGGTGTTACTGGTGTGTGACATCATTCGTCTTTAGGTAATTCTGAAAGCAGTCCCGGCTGTCATTTGTAACTATGTAGGCATGGATGCGATCGCACAGCAAGGCAGTCAACGGCTCATCTCCTGCTACCCCTGCACCTGCCAATGCCACTGAGGCTGGGGGGTTCCAGTCAACAGTAAGGGAGTTTTTGCTGCCGTGGCTGCTTTTCTACGTCTTGCCGATCATTCCAAGTACCGAATGCTTCCCACCACCTTACCTGATGACTGTGCAGGGCACAAGTTTCGGAAATTGCGCTGCCGCTACAGCTGCATAGCAGAATCTTGTCTGTGGCACACCAAACATCGCAAATCAAACCGAAAGGAATCATCTGAGACTTGGTTCTGCAGGCCGCGGTCCAGGAGTCGAAGTTGCCGACAGTGCCGACAGTTCCGAATGCAGACAAGGCGCTGCGGAAACTCTGTGCATGGCTGGAAGTCGGCCCAAGCTCGCAGTAGAAAAGTCAACCTCAACTTTGCATCCAGGTGGATGGCACGAATCCAACGGCCAGCCCGACCAAGCACACCATGACAGAGCTCGCAGAGCCTTGCCGCAGGTTTAGCTTGCAGGGCATCGTTTAAGCGCTGGTGCCCGACTGTGCCTCGACCAACTGGGCCTGTAAAGGCACAAAGCGGGGCCCCTGAGAAGTAACGGTGGCACCGCCATGATCGATCGGTGCCCGATCGAGAAACTGACAACCTTTCCTGTAGCCACGGCACGTCGAAGGCACCTAACCTTCGGCGCTTTTTGATTAGCGTCGCTTTCCAGCGTGCGCGTGCGGTATATCAGAGGCGTTGTCCCTGCCAGTGGCTTGTTTTAGAGAACAGGTACTACTTGCAGACGATTACGATTTGATTTTCTTGTATGCTCTTGTTGTTCAAGTTCTGGCTTGCAGACTTTCGCTCACTGGATGGTGTGAAGATTGACAATGTGAGGACATATTCGTCAGTGGTGTGACAAAGCCGATTGAGCCGGTGGCCAATGTACCCACAGATTGCAAGTTCGCGAGTGGTGTGTGACATGACTCCCCCACCTCCAAGCTTTCCGTCAGCATGGGTTGCACAAGGAGAAGCGTTGCGCAGGTACCCGTTCAGCAAAAAGCGCCCAGCCCTTCAGAAACGGGCTGGACTCGTGCCTCGTCTACTGTTGACTTCCGAGTGACGGGGCATTTGTTGGTCTGTGGACAGGACAGACATGGAGACAACAACAGCTGGAGTTTTACAACGTTGGTTGTCCGATCTCTAGCACTGTACTCACTAAAGGCTCGACTCGCAAGGTAGGGCGGGGTATCAACCGGTTGATTGGTTGATTAGAGTATGCGTACGGACTGTGTTCGATCAGATTCTGGGAATCGCCAGTTCCGCCAATGACCTTTGAACGTTTATGCAGCCTATATACATATGCAGCGATGTGTTCGCGAGCGAGTTAGACCATGAAGCACCGTTCAGGTTATGTCACGGAGGAGTCCGAGTACTGGCTCGAGCCTCAATAAGGCAGTGTTTTGCCCAGTCGGATCTTACTTTTGTCAACATGTGTCGCATGTCAGCGTGTCGTCTTCCGGACAGACGCTCTGCAAGAGATGCATCAGAGCATAGCAGAGGGAATTGGAAAGCGAGGTGGCATTGCTGCAACACGGAGGAATGGTTCATGGAGAACGAACCAGGCCCTTTGGGATACTTTCTTCCTCTCATTACCCGCAATTGGATATACACTCGAAGACCCTGCTGGGAAGAAAATGCATTATTCTGAGGATTTTTCGCTGAGTTGAGCACTTAGGATGCATTGTTCTGAGGATTTTTCGCTGAGTTGAGCACTTAGGAGGGCATCGCGGCCTCACGGGTTCAGCTAAAATGGCATCCAGTACGATGCGCAGGACAGTGGGCAGAATTCGTGGACACGGCGACGAGCAAGAAGTATTGGTTTCATCCAGATGGGAGGCCGTCTAGCGCAGCCTGCAGATTTTCCCAACGCATCGCCCGGCAAATCTAGATGAACCGCGCTGTTGTGGTTGCTCTCGATGACTGGCCCTTGATGGAACATGTCCGCACATGCAGGTGCTTCTGGTCTGATGAAGACTAGCCGTGTAGCCGTTTCACTGCTCACCAGTTTTGCAGGATGCTTTGGACATGGGCACGGGTTTCTGGGTTCGCCTCTGCCTGTGTGGCGGAGCGTCTGAAGGCATTGTAGGAGCATACAGATCAGCTTGCGCGCTTGCCTGCTTCACTGATGCCGGCAAGGCCAGCAGTAGCAATCGAAGGCTAGCATTGACATGCGAGATGTGAGCCGTGCACAGCTCAGCATTGCGAATCGGGCGGTGACTGCTCGTGGCTTTGCAAAGCATCCTTCACATGTTGCTCAGCTGCCATTGGCTGCCATGGTGGTCGGTGACAGCAGCGGCTTGCACTGTTCAACTTGCGTTTATCATTTCTGCAAGCACCTAGGCCAGTAGAAGCTGCCCAAGGGAGCTCCCAGCTTCCACAACTTGTCAGGAGAGCCTAGCCTGATTATTAAGTTATAAAGACCAACGATGAACTGCAAACCCGTCTCTGTAATGAGCTCATCGAGCTGGCAGGGTTCGGACATGGACTTCGAATCGTCTTGCAAGAATAGAAGCACCGCCGTTTTCACAGTTGAACCTTACAAGCTGCAAGTAGACCAGATGTCGAGATTGGTAGCGGCTGTGTGCTGCGCAGATGGAGAGAGGGATCTGCCAGGAGCTCTCAGCTACGACTAGGTAGTCTGAACAGCTTTGGCTGTTTGGTTGCTCTTCAGTTCCTTCTCTCCAGACCTAAACTCGGCTTTGGATCTGCACGAGGCCAACTACAAGCTCCTGCAGTGCTTCAGGGAGTGTCAGAAATGCAGGTTACAGTAACTAATGTATTGAAAATCAACCGCACACACCCACGAAAGGCGGGTGGAGAAGCCGCACCATAGTTCTCACCGAGGTTCCCTGTCATGTTGCCATGAAATGTCGAAGTGGCCCGTGGTCTTCCTTGCACGACCAACATACAGCATAGGCTGCATAGGCATAGCAGGCTTAGCATGTTTGCCCGAGAGCCCGGATGCTGTGCTTGGCCGCACAAATTTTCTGTCCGGGGGCCAGCAACCGACGCGACAAACTGCACAAGCTTGCGCTCGCGGCCCCCATCGCTGATGTGCCAAAGAATTGCAAAGCAGCATGTGGTCTCAATACTAGTGGACGTGCTTGGCCACATTGGCGATCTTCATGGCGCTGGGCAGCGTGCCGTGCGCAGTGGGTTTCGCTAGAGGCGCGTCTCCGTACTGCTGGTGTGGTCGCAGGTCTTCCCAATCATGCAGACACAGTTTCTGTCACCATCTCATCGTCGTATGGCATCTGTGTCGATTTAGACTAAAAGGCAGACGGCATGTGATCTTGCAGGAAACAACATAGAGATGGGCGTCGGACAGAAGGAAGCTTACCCAAGCTACCGATGCCAGTGCTGCATTTTGACAGCTGCCTCGCTTATAGTTGCTAGCCACCTGAAAATCCGATTCGGCCGATGTCCGGTGTCTTTCACAAATGTCATCGGACACATCTTGGGACTTGATGGCATACCTAGACATGATTTGCGCTTTAGTTGCCCGTGACAGCAACTGCCGTGCTTATTGACAGATCGTTCTTTGCAAGATGGACTTTGTTAAACCGCTCTCTGGCAGACAGGTGCTGTTGAACCACAGGCCCTTAGTCGTGTACCGTCGATGTACACGGTAAGTGTTCACTGGTGAGCATTCTCAAGAGTGATGGCAGGCGTTGCCACTCACCTGCTCCCGCGTTTGGCCGGAAGAAGCAATGTCCAATGATTCGCAACGGCCATTGGCTACGCTTCTGTGTGTCTGTCGAAATCTACATCTATCCATGTCTTTGAACATTGTTCCATCTGAAGCGAATCACATCATTGTGCTTCCCGCAACGTCGCCACAGCTCGAGCACGATAATCCAGAAGTTTCTGTGCAGAACATGGGTGCTCATATGGTTGGCGTCGGAGATGTTCACTGGCCGGTGTTCATGGCTCTTGCTTTGCTGTTCTGACGGCGGCAGCAGCGGCGGCTCCTGCGCAAGCAGGAGACCACCGTGTGACAAAGTTCCCAGCTTGCCAGGTTCCTCATGTCACAGCTCCAGCCCTTTCGTCTTTGTATGATTGTATTTGGTGGCACAGCGTAATAGTACTCGGCAGCTCAAGTCTGACCCACTCTCATGATTTGCAGTGTGGTCGGGGAGCTTTGAGGTGGAAGCCTGTTTTGCTAGATTTTGCCAGTCGCCAAATGCACGGCTGATGTGCTCGTGTTGCATTTCTCGTGGATTCTGTTTGCCTCTCGGTCGTTCCGAAGCATTCTAGAATACTTTTGGGCAGGCATTGGCTCAGTTGATAGTGTATGAAGCCGTGGATTAAATGCAAGATGATAGACCACCGGCAGAAAGAAGTAGTTTTCGTTCGTAGCTTTGCACACTAGCATCATAGCCCATGTCTTGGAGCCACCCACACCTCTCAGGAGGAGCTGCGGACCAACCAGAGCAGTTTCCAACCAAACACATAACTAACAGCTTTACTTCCAGCAACTTCATGTGGAAGGTCTTGACTCGCAGCGTCTAGTTGTGGGAACTTCTTCGAAACAGCTTCAGCCGTTTACTTTGCGCATGGCGGACAGCTCCTGCCTCCGATGCATGATGCCGGAAAGAACGGAGACATGGCCGTGCCAGTGAAGGCTTCAGCCGCTAGCGTGGCCATAGACGGACTGGACATGGTGCAGTCTTAGCACGGCAACGTCAGCACACTTGTAAGCAGTAGACGCACCGGGCAAGGGAAGCTGCAGGATGACATTGTGGCAGACAATTCTTCGGATCGTCATGCAGACCTGTGACGTAGTCTTCCCTGTCCCTCAGGCATGAAGTCTGCCAGGGGCGAGAGCCCACGAAGTAATGTCGACGAGAGCCCCGGCGCGAGCCCGCGTGGAGGGGCCAGCCCTCGTGCTTCGGCCTGCTTGAGGGTTCGAGAGAGCTTGCAAGACTTGTGCTTGTCGTACTCTCAGCTCCAGGTGCTCAAAGCCCGGGTCAGAGTCCGCGTGACGGCGCGAGCCCGCGTGGGGACAGCCCTCGCCTTTCCCTTAAGCTTCTTGTGCTTGTGGGACAGCGCAGTGGATAATCGGCCAAATCTACAACGGCGACAGTTCAGCCGAGCTCTTGAGGTCGAAGAAATTCCGTCAGGGGTGGGAGACGAAACTCAGTTCGGGAGGAGAGTTGCGTGCGCTTGCCACACTCCGTCGTGAATCCTTGCTTGTAGCCTTCCGCACTCGCTGAAGGAGTCTCCCCGGTGGGAAAAGCCTCCCCGACAGCGGCCTGCAGCTGGCCGAAGCAGCTATTCACTCCTGGCGGACTTGGTCACTTCGCTTCACAGGTCTCCTGCAGACTCTCGCTTCGCTGCTACATCTTAGCTCAGGTCATCAAAAACCAGCAGATTGATCAGCTCAAGGAGTCCTTGCAGCTCGGAGGAGGCGTCGTCGCGCGCAAGTCGGTGGGAGAGTCTCTTGGCAGCTGTTTTGAGCAGTGCAGCAGCGCAGAAACCACACCATGGATTGTTGAGCTGCAAGTTGCTTGGCACTCAGGTTTCTCAAGGGCTTCCGGCTTGCTGTGGCGTGCTCAGTGGAACGCGAGAGCGGGATTTTGCAAGAGCACCGAAGGGATTGTGCATTTGGAAATCCTGACTCAAGGCTGGCCAAGATCTGAGGCTGGAGGCCTTCGACATCATCGGGTTGCAGGAGCTCTGCGAAGCCAAGTCGTGGTTACAGGTTTTGTCTCAGAGAGCACCGAAGAGCGAAGAAGGATGGTGACGAGTTGGACGAACGGCTGGGCTTGGTCGTGCAAGATTCTCTCACAGGCAGCCGCTTGCTTTCACAGGCCCTGCTCTGCTCTTTGCAAGCCTTGAGCGGTTCACTTGCCATCCGCACCTCGTACCTTCTCAGCTGGTACGGCGCGTGGGGTAGGAACCGCGGCAAGTGCAATAGATGATAGTTGTCACAGCCTCTTCACATTTCTCCAACTGGTGATAGCTCAACTTGAAGTTGCAGTGAAAAGTCTACATGCATGGCAAAGGCCACTTCCTGCAAGCACTTCTTGACCCTGGTCTTTCCTGGCCGTGTCAGCATCCAAGGCAAGGAAGACGACCGTGACATCCACTTGTATGCCCGCCCGCCGTGCCTAAGTTGCATTCGAATCTAAGACTCGGCCTCTTCTTGTCTGGTGCACGTCTTAGGTGGTTTGAGTCGGAGCTGGCTTCTCGGGTTGGTCGATGCCGACGTGCTGCTTGGACGTCAATTTCCCTCTGCGACACGCGGTTCGCACTACACATCTTTGCGCTCAGTTTTGGAGCTGCCTACTACCCTGCTGTGTTCGACGACGGCCTCGCCGGTGGCGTCGGAAGCATCGATATCGCGAGGACCTCTTTGCTTGCTACGTTCGGGTGCTGAGCCTAGCGTTCGCTCCGCCTTCATATTCCGTTCAGTTGCAGTCATGTCACGAGTCATGTCCTCTTCAGAAGCACTGGTTGAGGTGCAGCAGGCCATCCTGCGGCTTCTTTTTCGGAGTAGCTCTGCATCAAAGCAGCGCGACATATTCGTGCTGCTTGGCTTGGATGCTTCACCGCTTGGGTGAGTTCTGCCTTAGTTCGTGAAGGGCCCTCAACAGATGTGGCAGTTGACAGGCCCTGGGGTCAGTAAGATACCCGCTTGGCCGCGACGTGTCGACGAGAGTGTGATTGTGCATCTGCATCGAAAGTAGCAGGTGTACCCTCCCTTATGAATTGGATGTTGACGACAAGACAAGCTTATGCGATTCGCAGGAGCTTTCAGGAAGCCGACAAGGATTTGGCCAAATGGCTTCGCTTGTTCTGCGGCGTGGCTGCATCCCGTAGTGTGAGGCACACCATCCTCGCTAGGCTGCGCAGTGCAGTCGCTCTGAGCTTTTCACGCACCCACAGGCATTGTCGTTGTAGATGTGACGTGCTGGTGCGACCTTATTTGGCTTCTACATTCAGATTTTCTTTCTACGATTGGTGTGAAGAATTGAGATCAGGTGAGCCTTGGTGTCGTGTTGTGCCTACCCCAGGCGACATGCGGTCCCTGTCCGTGTCTGAGCCAGCAAAAAGTCGAGGTTACACAGTGAGGGACAGCATGGAAGGGGGAAGGGGTGATGGGAGGGCAAATACAAAGGTACAGACTGAGCTCTTCAGCGACTGATGTTGTCTGGTCGTCAGCAGAACATAGTCAGCACACCTTCAATGATTCGTTTGAATTACGAGCTGGTCACTCTTTCTTCGATTGCTGAAGCGATGGCGGGGAAGTTTCTGGACACGACAGTAGATGGTTACAGCCGACAGGGTCCTTACAGTGTTGAGGGGTTCGTAGCTTGATGGTTGAGGCAACCGCAAAAGACTGGGTTATACTTATTGCAGCCGGTGCCGCCATAGGCCACACAAGTGGCCGCTCTGCAGGTGTATGCATGTTTGGCAAACGATGCCGCGGCTTGGCAGAGACATGGTCAGGGTGTGGATTTTACGCTCTTCCAGCGTGCTCGTGAACATGATTAAGCAGGAATTAAGACATGTCGCTGCTTCGTAAGTAGCTGTTGTCCCACCTTGATTTTGCAGGCGCGGCAGCAGCTGCAAGAAGCACAGGCAAAGCAGGAGCAGAACAAGGAGGAGCAAGAGAAGCAGGTGGATGCTATTCACACATCGGGCTTTCGTTCGGCGCTTCCGCCTCCGAATTCCAGTCCCAGGTCCCGAAGCACAAAAACTCTTCCTACGTCGTGTGCTGCCAGGGCACGTGTGATGTTGATGTCCAAACCAATCGCATAGTATTTTATAGTATAGCATCTTATAGTACAGTATATTAATATACTTTAAGTAGAATAACGGGCCTCAAAATTCTATTCTAAGTATTTAGGCCCCCATATTGGTACGGTGCAGGCGTCGGCAAAGACTGCAGAGAAGGAGCGAGTGATTCAGAAGCTCGGCTTGTCCACCACCACGGGTCAATCTACAGTACTGGCCATGAGTAATGTGCCACGCTGAGCCCGGGGTCCCTTAGCTTTTGCCAAGGAAAGAAACGTCTGGACGATCCTCGGAGAATGGTTCCGAGGCTTTCACTGTTGAAATCCTGCTGGAAGGTTGATTCCAAGAAAGCTGGGTAGAGCCACAAAGGCTGAGGCTTCGTCAGCTTGGCTCTAGCCATCCACGCAAGAACCAGGAGACCGAGAGACAGGAGGATGTACCAAGAAGCCGTGGGGCCTGCTTCAGAGACCAACGCAGAATGAGTTTCCTGTGTTCCAAAAAAATGCAGAAGGCAAGTATAGGCATGTTGTGAATTTTCGGACATTGAATTCCGGGCTGGGTGACCGAAGAATGAAATCCAGGAGTGATTTGGGCATCAGAAATGAAGCCAACGGAATCAGTTTTCTTCAAAAGGCTCCAAAAACGGATGAAGCTCTAATGTTCAACAGGGGCTGCCTCAAGTTTCGATAGAAGGGAAGCTGGTAAGATGAGGTTTAGACCCCAGCTTTGCACCGATAGCAGTTGCACGGCAGACGCAGATCTGGGCCAAGGTAGCTCTAACAAACCAAAGAAGCCCAAACCCTAAACCCTGTAGACAGCGGACTTAGCGCCTGAAGCCATGCCTGCCTTGTGCGAGTGTGTGAGTCGAAACCCTATAGATCCCTTGTAGGAGGGAACAAATAGATCCCTTATAGATCCCTGAAAGAACCCTTGTAGATCCCTTTAAAGGAACCTATCTGAGGCTGGAAGAGGTTCTGATTTCTTGCCAGGCCGACGAGAGCGAGACGGCGGTCGAAGTGGAGGATGCTGCCTGGCCTTCTGCAATCCTCGAAGAGTGCAGGCCCATGTGATATCGATCTTCCCCGACCCAAGGATCGAGAGTCCCTCCTGGAGTAGCTTGGCTTATTCAGCGCATACTGCATACTGCAATCATAGTCTCGTACCGTCTTCCGAAGTACGATCACAGAGCTGATTGCGGACTGCGCTGCACACCAAAGCGCCCCTGCAGGTTTTTGCGTGGGGCAATTGCCTGTATAGGGCACCCGCCGTGTTTGTTTCAGCGTGAAATCCTCGAGTTGCAAAGCTGTCCCAGGTGGTTGCAAGAGCGACAGGAGATGGGCTCTGTCTCGTGTGCCAATTGATCACTCGATGCTGTCATTACCTGCCAGCATGTACGACTCTTGTCTCGATCCGAAGCAGAGGAGCTAATCAGAACTTCGCGAGTACTTATTGTGATCGTGAGCCAGGACATCGGACATGGTTTGCCACGGTTTGCCGCATGCTTGTTTGTTTCGTCTTCTTGACACAAGGTTTCTCAGGCAGTGATTTGAGCACTCATGGTTGTACGTTGATTGACAGCAGGTTTGCCTCAATCTGCGCATGTTGCGACCCTGTCTTGCTTGACATGATGGACACACATCTGTTTTCGCACGAGGCTGCACGAGGCCAGGCAGGTACAAGACACTGTCAGGCAGGTCGCATGTCATGACTCGAAATCGCGCACCCTAACTTCGGACGCCCGATCCGCAGCTCATCAAGCTGGGGTCTTGGAGTATTGGCCCGACTTATCCCTTAAACGCTGGGTATGTCAGTTTCTCCTGCATGAGAGCCTGTTGTTTTTCGGCGAAATATGATGGCCCTTGGCCTGTGTTAGCCGGATCCGAAGTTTTCAGGATTGAAATTGGGGCCTAGATGTGCGTTTCTTTGTCTGCCTCTCCCTCCCCGTGTCTGTTTACATCTTCGCTTGTACTCGGCCTCTCTCTCCCGGACTCTTTGTCTTCCCGATGCCAGATCCAACCTTGTCAACTTGGTGTAGTGTGGGTTTTCGAGCCTGATTGCCGGCATCATCGAGCACAACAGTGCATTGGGGCTGTGCCAACTTGTCTGGCTGTGGCACCTGAGGACTCGGTGGAGAACGCAGCGGTGTTGCAAGATTGCCTTTGGGTGTCCTGTCCCGCACGTAACGCTCGATTTCCTCATTGCTGACTATTGGCTATGCCGCTACTGTCCATTCTTCACACTTTCAAGTTGGACCTTTGTCGCCTGACGCTTTTGAACCTCTGACCTCTGCGAGAGCAGATGGGTGCGAGACTGTTGATTTCTGCTTCAGATGGCACTGCGCATGCACACGTGATGGTGTCTTGGAGGCCTTCCAGTGGGGCGTGCCCATTCTGCCCGTTCGGCGAGTGATTTCTGGAAAGCCAACAAAGGCTGGAACGTAGGTGTTGTGGTGCCTTGCACTCACGAGTAAATCTGGGAGGAGGTTGTCCAGCTGCTGTCTCATCACTCCGAGAGTTTTTGAAACCACACTCTTCTGTCGGGATCTTCTTTCAGGGCTTTGGGATCTCTGCTGCCACTCGTCTCGCATCCGGGGCTTGGGTATCTGGGAAACCGTCACCATTCTTGATAGGTTTTCGGCAGCTTTTCTCAACTACTGATTGTTGTTGCCCCTCGACTACTAAACCACTGCTGCCGCCGCCGCCACCGCCACCCGTCACCCGCCACCCGCCACCCGCCACCGGCCACCCGCCACCCGCCACCCACGACCCGCCACCTCCACCGCCACCGCCACCGCCACCACCACCACGGGTGCTACTGCTGCTGCTGCTACTACTACTACTACTACTACTATTACTACTACTACTACTACTACTACTACTACTACTCCTGCTACTACTACTACTACTACTTCTACTACTACTACTACTGCTGCTACTACTACTACTACTACTACTACTACTACTACTACTTCTACTACTACTACTACTACTACTACTACTACTACTACTTTTACTACTACTACTACTACTACTACCACTACTACTACTACTACTACTACTACTACTACTACTACTACTACTACTACTACTACTACTACTACTACTCGCATCTAGGGATTCATCGTGACTAGTTGCCATGTAAGTCCCCGCGGAGCTGTCATTGGCGTGCCATGTGGGTGACAAAAACTACTACTACTACTACTACTACTACTACTGCTGCTGCTGCTGCTACTACTACTACTACTACTACCACTATTACTGCTACTGCTACTGCTACTGCTACTGCTACTGCTACAACTGCTACAACTGCTACTACTGCTACTACTGCTACTACTGCTACTAGTACTGCTACTGCTGCTTCTGCTGCTACTGCTACTTCTATTGCTGCTGCTTTGACTTCTGCAAGTGGTTCTACTTCTACCTCTACTTCTACTTCTGCGTCTACTTCTTCTTTTATATTTCTCCTTCTACTTCTGCTTCTACTACGACGACGACTACTACTACCACCACTACTATCAGTACTACTACTACTACTACTACTACTACTACTACTACTACTACTACTACTACTACTACTCCTGCTGCTGCTGCTGCTACTACTACTACTACTATCACTCCTGCAACTACTACCACCACCACCACGACTACTACAGTACTACTGCTACTGCTACTATTTCCACCGCTGCTGCTACCACCTCTCAGCTCCACGACGACGACTACTGCCACCACCACCCTACCATCACCGCCGCCGCGACCACGACCACGACGACGACACGACCGCGACTACGACTTGCTACGACTACGACTACGAAGACGACTGCTACTACTTACGTTCTTCGGTGCGGTCCTTGCGATTATCTGCTGGTGGATCCTTCATTAGCAAGGAGGATGAGCTCAGAGAGCAGCGCCGGAAGCTGCGATTCCTCTTCGCTCTAAACATGGGTCTTCCGCAGGTTGGCCTGGGCACCTCAGCCGCAGGTTGGATTTATATTTTAGATCGTTAGGTTGATGGAGTCGTTGTGATGCAGTCGGAAGGCCTTCACCGACAGATTCAACTCAAACAACCTCTCTCGTTCTCATCATGCCATGGTTCGGTGCTGGAAACAAGGCTAGAAGCATTTGGAGCGCCTGAGGTACGAACCGAAAGGACTTCTTTTTCAAGGCATGTGGGACGTCTTGGTCATCGGCCTTACTTATTCAGGGTCTCAGCAAGAAGCGCAGGGACCTTATACAGTGGTCTTTGAGGCTTTAAGGGCTTGTTTTGCAGTTTTGCGGGGATTCCGAGTTTACGGTTTGTTTTGTTGGGCTGAATGGTTTTAAGATTCAGATCAGCATTTGGGGGCTTGGGGCTTGGGGGTTTTGTTTGGCGATTTTGAGGGTGTGGCTCGAAGCTCAGAGGTTTACTGTTGGGGCTTTTGAGTATTTCCCGTAACGAGAACACGCCGACGGTAACATCAATTTGAACAAGAGCAGAGCCCCGGATCATAACGCAAACCCGGCGGTTCCCGTATCAGCGTGGTTTTGGGGTTTAGGGTTTAGAGGATTAGGGCGTAATTATCGGGTAAAGCTCACGCGCCATGTGATAGTTTCAAGTCTCTAAGACGTGGCCGAGCTCGCAGAGACCTAGGTTTCCCCGGGTTTATCCGCGTATTCGTATACCGGGCTCGACGGGAAGCGGAAACAACGCGTAGAATGCAAGGATAGGAGTATATTACACTGGGATGAGCAAGAGCGGACGCTGTTTCGTAAGGTACATGTATGCACCGAGTACATCAGATTCCTGCCTGCTGCCAGGTGTCGGCAGCCCTGGCCACTGGTATCCGCACGGGCCGTTCGGAGCGTCGCGAGCAGATGCCGAAGAACATTTGGGTGCCTCATCTTCAGCCCAGCAGCACCGTACCCCAAGATTGGTGGGCCTGCACCGTGATGATTCTATTTGCAGCAGCAACTCGTACCGTATCCTGTGCTTCTTTGCGGACATGTGTTTCCCTCCAGACTGAGCCACGTGAGAGACGCTTCCCTCACGAAGGTTCCCTCGATGTGACCGCACTTTCCAACGCATGGGCTTTACACATACTGGCAACTCTTCTAAAGCGGTAGTCAGATACGATGCCCGGACTGACATTCAAGTTAATTTGCCCCAGCTTGCGAGAAAGCTGGCAGATCGGGAACGCACCAGTCATGCAGCACCAGATTGATGAAAGCAATTCGGGGCCACAGCTTCTACGTGTGGAATTCCTCCAGCTTGTCTTCACATCAACTGGCCCGGAATTGACGACTTGATGATTTGTTCGTGCATCTCCTGCATGCTGTTGGCAATGAGGAGTTCTTCTCCAGATCCGTTCGGCAGCTTCTACGAAACCCGTCATGGAAAGCTGCACTGGATTAGTTGTGCTGACTCCTGGTGTTTGCAAGCATGGTGCGTAACGAGCGCTCTTCGAATGCGTGTTGGGCATCAGTTGCGCTCCAGCAGTACATAGCCTAGGAGATGCGCAAGAGCTGAAGGAGTCTGGAGACGGGAGCCAGGCTCGTGGCTTCCTCTGCTGCTGTGTATCGATGCGTGATGGCATGTGCCATTTGTCCTCTGTCTGCGGCCATGGGTGATACAGACACGTGCCCACAGAAACTTGCATAACTCAAGAATTCTCAGCCATGGCAAGGTCTCGGCACAGCCGACTGAAACACGCCGCTTTTCTGGACGTAAATGAACTGTGTCTTGAGTATTGAGTGTTTCTTGTCAGACATGGCACGGTTTTGCAATGCTGTGCTCCTTCTGCTGGTGCTTGAGGCTTTCGTGTCGAGCGCGGCGCCCTCGTAAATATTCCCACGTTGGACTCTTGGGCTTCAGGAGCTCTTGATGAGGATTGAGGTGATGCACTTCACGTGTAATTTGATCTAGTCGCTTGGAGTAGCGGTGTGTCGTGCGGGCGGCACGGCAGTTAAAACAAGCAGCTGCCTTACAGGTCCCTGTGCCGAACAAGCGATCGGCGTTTTCAGACCTTTTCCCAAGGACGAAATCATACGATCAAAGTCGGGAAGTAGCTGAGGGCTTTTTGTGTAGATGCGGCGGCTTCTCTTCGAAGCGCACGCGAGACTGCAGGCGTGAGAGGTACGCAGACGGCTCTCGTTGAAATTCGGGCTAGCTACGAGTAGACCGATGCATCGAGATTAACACCATTGAACACCCAAGGAGAAACTGTGGCACCCAAAAAACAAGCCTAGGGAGGTTGAAGATCGTCACAAACATCGACCCAGCAGTCTGTAATAGTCTGGACGGTTCGTAAAGCCTGGACCACATGGACCGGAATTTGCATGATAACCACGACGAGACCACGTGCTGGGACCCAAGTATCCATCGTAACAAGACCGAAACGAGGCACAGAGACAGCAAAGGTTTAGGTGATGATGTTAAGGCTCGAAGCGTTGGGGCCTTGAGGCTGCTGTTCTTTGCCGGTACTCTGCTTCCCCAGGAAGTCTCATATCTGGTTAAGTCTGCGCGCCGCCCCACATTTCGCTTCCTGCACCAAGGGGCAGCTAGCCGAGGAGAAGAAGGAGGATAAAGTGATTGCCAAGGCATGCGTGCACGCAACACACCTGTCAACAATTTTGCCCTATACCTCTCATCCTAAGCCAAGAGACAGAAAGCGGATTCATACCTGTAGTCGCGAAGGACGATGACGAAGAGCGAGAGGAGGAGCACCAGAAGAAGGACCAGCATTGATCACTAGCTGCGAGCTCCACTGGAGAGGGGCACAGAATATACAATATATACTTGAAAAGAACGTTGTAGGGCTGCTTGTTGTTTACCCTTATGGAGGATATTCCTTGTCCTGGGAGTAAGGATAAGGTGCCTTTGTTTAGGTTTGTTGCTCGCAATCTCTCCGACATCTGACAACCTTGAAGGAGCTTGGCAAAGACCGCTCGGCCGGAGACGTGGATCTGCTCCTTGGACACCCAAAGACTTCTCAGACATGTCTTGGACTTCATTTTCGGATTCAGCACGGGGGTCTCGAGTTGGTGTATGTTGCCTGCAACAACTTGTGAAGCACAGCCTCCAAGCCAGTGAAGGGGTGACGGAAACCCAATTGACTCTTATTATGTACAGCTCGGAAGTGCATGTCAGAATCGCTGGCTGCATGACTGCAGAATTTTGTATCGTGAGTTTGCTTGACTTCAGCTTTTGGGGGCCTCAGAACCTCCACACCTCTGGTCGATACCAAAGCCCCTGCATGTAAGCGCACTCGAAGCAAGCATCTCACCCGCTGAAGCGGGGCTTTTCATCCGTTTCGGAGGTCCAGCCAACTTCACCCCACGATGGAGGATCGTATCTATGGCGTGCTGTCAATGCTTCTGTTGGAGGGGTCGGAGAATGTGCAGGCCTGGCCTTTAGAAACCCCACCAAGGGCCTGGTATCTGCTTGACACCTTGCCTCAAGCCGCGAAGAGTCGCGGTGGTCTATGCAAGAATGTGGAAAAGGAAAGTAGTCTAGCAAAGTAAAGTAGGTCTCGGCAGGAGGTCTTAGGAGCGTATGTTCATGCTGTAGCCGATCTGGGCCGAGCCCGCTGTGTCTCACAACGTTCCAAGCCTTGTCTTGACCGCCGCCGGTAGCTGTCCGGGCCCAGCGAAATCTGTGCGGCGCATTTAGACAGGAAGCGTTTTCGACATCTCCAGCTTTCTGCGACGCGCGAAGAATGTCAGTGTTTGATGCTGAACAGGTGGCCGGGAATGCCACGCATGCCCTGCGAATCATTACGCAGTCGGACACCTGGGCAGCAGTTGCTGCCGGTTTGTATTCTACACGAACTGTCGGGCCGGTGAAACTGCAGCCCGAACCAAGACAGGTGAATGTGCACTGCTCGAGTGCTATCTGAGGAGCGGGGCTCCCAAGCTGTCGCTATGTTTCGGGGCATTGAGGTTCTGCGTCTTGGCACGCAAGCCGCAAGACTTTCGAGGCAGGATCGAAGGCACCTCAAACGCTCTACTCTCAGAGCAGAGTCAGCGGTAGGATCCTTGCAAGTTGTCACATCAGCGCCTTGAGCGTCGAGCCATCAGGTTGGTTATGGCCATGCTCGCTTGCAGCCAAGTACAGGAGCCGAGCTGCGTCTCGGGGTGTGAAAGCTTCGGGCAGCGCCTGCAACTTCTCGTACTTGTAGCATGTCGAGTTGCGGTGGGGCCAGTGTTCAGAGAAGAGTTTCGAGGCGTCAGCCCCAGTCCTGTGAGGTGTCCTTTCAGCTTCTTGGACTATCGCTCGAATTTCGTTTTTTTCGATTTCCCTAGTTTCGTACGGGTTATCGATGAAACTTTGGTGGTCTGCGGGCCAGATCTTGCGATTTGTGCGGGCGCAGACTTTTGCCAATGTGGTGTTCCCGGCCATCTGTGAATTTTGGTGTCTCCTTTCCGGGAAAATACGGCACAAATTTGTGAGCCTCCCAGATTTGACACAATTTCCTGGCATCTGGCCAGGTGTTGGCGAAACGTGTTTTTGTTGACAGATGTCTGCAAGTTTTTGGGCTGCCGTCCACGTGCTCAACATCGGCGGCCGTATGTGCAGTGTGGCTGGACAAAGAACAGGGGCTGCGTGGTCGAGAAAGTTGCTTCGATACATCTCATCCCCTTCATGTTCAGGATGAGATTTTGTTTTTTATGTTGACATCTTGCTGGATCCTGGATATATAGATGTACTGCCTCCCCAGCCCCCAGACCTGACACGATGTGTTTGGGAAGATTGAGGGGTGTCGTGTTTTCCTTCACTGTGTTTTTTGAGTCGTGGCCTAGTCACTTACTCGGCGGTTGGGGAGGCGGACGCACCTCCAGCCCAACCCCTGATTTGTTTCGAGCAGGAGCAGCGACGGGCCCCGACTTCCGCACGCGGCGGCACATCGCCGAAGAGCGGCCGGCATGGGGCGCAGGATGCGGTCGGTAGGGTTGGGTGCGGGCTTCAGGGAAATGTGGTTCAGGTTTGGTTTGAGATTGCCACTACCACAAAATGCCATTGTTCGCTTTATACTTTGTACATCTTTGTGTTGCTGTGTTGCACGAGACGGACCTCAGTGCTTGAAGGATAACAGCACGCGTGGGGACACGTCGCCCAAAACTCGGCGGCACTTCGGCAACGGCCAGGACCCATTGATTCCAATGTCAGCCAAATGCACGCTTGGAGTGCTTCGGTGTAGGACACAGCGCGTGGCGACACCGCTCGTTCGAAGGATGCAAGCCCGAGAAGTCAGGACCTGGTACTTTGTGAGTTTTTTTGGGTCCTGCTGACACGGTGCTCTGGGCAGGACTCCCCGGCATCTCCTCGTACGGCGCCGAAGAGTGCAAGAGGGCGACACGGTGCTTACAAGGCCGGTATCCGGTGCACAGCAGGTGCTGGACCCGTGTCTTTTCCATACCAGCCAAGGATGCATTAGCCAATGGTGATGAAAGCGCGCGCGGAGAGGACGCGAGCGTAAATGCAAGCAGGCCGTGACAGCTGCGTGGCGATGGGCAGAAACCGCAGCTGATACTTTTTGCAGGATGCGCCGGTGTCGCCTCGCGGTGGCGCTCCAAAGAGTGCACGGGCGCGGCATGGAACCTCTAAGGAGAAGCTGGTAGTTGCACGTGACTGACTGCATCTGCTGGTTTGCTTTGAGAAGTCGTGCTGGTGGGTGTTCATGCAACATAAGACTTTTTTGTGTTTGTCTGGAGCTTGCCTTTCAGGATGACCCGCCGGACACGGGTCGGGAGGATCCAAGAAGCGCGCGAGGTCGTACCTGAACCGAAAATTAGGCCATGCTGGCACCTTCAGGTTTTTGCTCGGCGCGATGAGTTCAAGTACTTTCAATTTGCAGTACAACGTGCATTAATGAACCTTAGTGACTTAGTGGCTGCGACTGCAGAAACAGGCAGAGACGTGATCAAGATGAAGCAAGTCAACACGGCAGGAAAGTGTACAAGAAAAGCTTCAGGACTGGCTGCAGAAGCACGAAATTTGCAGCTTCAGGCTACCAGGCATCCTTGCGTGCAAGCCTGCAGCAAAAAGGCCGTATGGATGCCGGGATTGTGGTGTACGTACTTGGGCCGGTTCCGGTGACAAGTTTGGCCAGGCACTTCAAGCCGGAGAGGCTGGAAGACGTGAGCAGCCTTCCTTTTGCAAGAAAAGCGCAGCCACCAGCACCATCAGCAGCAACAGCAGCAGCAGCAGCAACGACCACATCAACAACAAACGCCGGCCAAACGTACGCCGCACACACAAAGAACTAGGAAACAAATTTAGTTTTGATCAACGGCTTTGCTAGTCCAGTTTTGCAATTTTTCGTCGCTCTGCGACGACTGCTGGAATGCCGGTGTCGTTGGGCCGGTTCTGGCGACGTTCTCGGTCCCGAGCTCCAAAAGAGATACCGAAACAAAACATTGGCAGCGTCCCGTTCAGAAGGAATCGATAACAAGGACATGCCAGTGGCAAACCCGAAACCAAACAGTGTTCGTCCCAGACCCCTAGCGAAGATGACAGATATGAGCGTGTATGATGCACGACCGAAATTAACGGAGGTTGAGCCGCCAGCGCTTATGTGCTTGCTTCTCCTGCATATGGAGTGGGTGGATATTGGCGGCATCTCCATGTATATATATGGTATGTATATATATATGTACACATATTTCCGACTTACATCCTAGCCATACCTAGCCTCCAATTGTTTTGCTCCTGGTGGTGGTAATCTCCCCCATCCCCAGGCCATATCGGTACAGCAACTAAAGCAACTAGCCCAGTCAGTCCCCAGCACCCTTAAGTCTGAGGTAAAGGAGCAGCTTCTGCCCGGGGCGGCGAAGCATCTGCGAGAGGTGATGCCTCATCGAGAGGTGACGCCTCGTCGCGAGGTGACGCTTCCGCTCGCTCTGGTCAATCTGGCGAGAGGCTTCAGAGGTGTTGGCCTCAGCAGGTTTTGGAACCCTTTACTGTAAGGCTCACGTCACGACACAGCTTACCGAGAAAGCAGGCTGCAGACTCTGCCTGGATTCCTGGAAAGGAATCTCTAACAGGGCGGGCCGATCAACACATGAAGCGCACACGTGTGGAGTTGGGTTGGGCCTTCCACTTGGATAACCATGGTAAGCCAATCAGTGCACCGCAAGTCTCAAGACTGAGCTGTGCAGCTAAACAAGGGAATGCCAAACACGCACAGTCGGAAACCGTGTATGTATTTTGCATTTGGCAAGCTGCAGTTGCCTGCTGTACAAAGGCGGTGGTGTTGCAGCAAGTGCCATATGGCTGCATTTGGGAGCTTTTCCTCTGGCGTGGTGATGCAGCCTTGGCAGTGACTGGCCACCTACGATTGGTCCGGCAAGTGCCAGGCTGCCGCCGCAGGGGCCAAGCAGACGACCAACAAGGGGACGATGATTTCGTCGATTCAGAAGCAGGCAGCGGTGCAGCGGCAGTCTTGAGTAGTGAAGTGGACCCCCCAGGTCGCACCAACGACGTGTGTCATGGCAAGACAGCAATAACTCACTCACTCGCTCACTGGCTCACTCGCTCACCCCACTCGCTCACTCCACTCACTCGCTCGCTCGCTCACTGCATTACCCACCCACTCACCCACTCACCCACTCACCCACTCACCCACTCACCGACTCACCCACTCACCCACCCACTCACTTACCCACCCACTCACTCAAAAATTCACTCACTCGCTCGCTCACTCTCTCCCCCTCTCTCTCTCTCTCTCTCTCTCTCTCTCTCTCTCTCTCTCTCTCTCTCTCTCCCTCCCTCCCTCCCTCCCTCCCTCATCCATGGTGCAGGACAGTCGAAGCCATCATCACGAGGTGGCCGATGTGCAAGTTCGTTTGGCGACGTTAGGACCCCCAAGTGATCCCAAGTGTCGGTGCACTGGTGCGCGACCCTCTGTCCTGAAACGGATGTAGCTCGAGGTGAGAAGGAAGTCGGCAATGCTGCGCTGCGATTGGCCGATCATGCTTTCGCGACTGGGGAAAGAAAATCGAGATGCACTTGTGCGCATGCTGGAGGGTATTTGCGACATTAGGCATCGCTACGGAACATTGCCGCGCACTCCTCCGACAGACGACAGCAGATTCTGGCCCTCGGCGGGGAGCAGGCAAATTTCGGCCAAACCGACAAGCAGTGCACACGAGTCGATGGAAGGATGCTTAAGTCGCTGCTGCGATCATTTGTGCCAGGTCGGTGTCGAAGTGCCGGGCTTATGCTTTTGCGATGCTGTGCTGACCGGAAGATGTAGTTCATGCCCTATCCTTTTGTACCGACCGGCTGGCTGCTCGATGAGCGTTTCTATTCTCCAACTGCAGATGCAGAACCCGTTCCCTCGCACACATCGTACCAGGCTCTCGCGCTGTTCCGCGGGCGCGATTCAGGGCCCAGTCGCTCTGTCGCGGCATTCCTGCGCAACCTTTCAGAAGGCCACCATCGTCAGATTCGATTTGACGAAGCGATGGCAGAATGTCGGGTTTCCCGCTCTTGTCTTGCATGCTTTCGCGATGTGCTGTCCTGTCGGGGCAGGTTCGGACGGTGGCTTGGCCGAATCAATCCATAATTTGCGTATACCGGCGTTTCACTTACGTCATGACTTCAGAAGCGCGTTGCCTTGAGTTCCTGGTGCTACAGGTGTCGTGCCTTTGGCCAGCGCGGGCTTCCTTCAACTGGCAGAGGTTGATTGTGTTGCCCTGCCGTGCTGTATGTTGCGGTTCTGCTTCCCGTTGAATTTGGACGCTTTGGCAGGAAGAACTGGATGACAATCTCGGGGGACCCCAAGTTCGGCGCCACATCCTCGCCAAAGTCCCAGCGCAGATCTGTGGCATGTTTCCTGTGATCCATTCTTTGCCATGCAGAGGCTGCGTTGCAGAACATGGCGGCACAAGTGGGACCAAGCGACGCGGCATCTCAGACTTTTCTGAATTTTAAGTCGAGTAAGGCAGCTAGGAACGCCAGAGACTCAAACGCTTCCTGAGGAACATAGACAGAGGTAGTCTTCAGACGTGGGTAGATGGACAGCTCTCGAGTAAGTTGTTAGGGCGAGTGTTCGAAGGAACTTCATCGTTTCGATAAGCATGGCCGTAAAATCTTGGAGATGTATCGGTTTGACAAGCAGCAGCACTTTATTGTAAACGGTTGGCGTCGGTCGGGTTGCAGGTAGGTGGCCATTTAAGGGCTACGGAGGGAACGAACAGGAGGGGAAAGAGGGAACTTCTGCACGCTCCGGAGCGCGCCGACCCGAAATGTCCACGTCGATGCGAACTTCCAAGACCAAGCTTCATGCAAGACTTACACTTGTATTCTGTAGATGTTATAGTTTATTCAAGTGGATGGTCGCGTCGAAGACCTTGTATGATAAAATGATCAGAACGAACGTTTCAGTCGTGTCACTTGTGGTTGGTTTATCTATGGCCTTGGAGAGCAACTGCATTCATTGAAGGCGGAGAAGTTTTCTCCCAGCCCGCGAGCTGGTTGGAGCTGTGTGCCATCGCTTCGCAGCGAGCTCTTCAGGTCGTAGATGCCAAAGCTTCGCAGTCCATGCCGTGATGCCATGCAATGCAGGATCGAGATTCGCGCACCACGCAACAGGCTTTGGGTGCTACTTGGATGCATCACTTGGCCAATACGCTGATATGTGGCCTGGATTGATTGACATCACGACGAAGAGATCATTGCCAGAATCGGTTCCATCATCTTACTTCCTGTCTGTCGTCTGCTGCCGAGACAAACACAGACCATCAAAGACCCGTGCACCCTGCTTTGCCTGAAGGCTATGGGCAACTTTGCTGTTCTTCGAGCTGCGAAGGAGACACATGAGACGTGAACTAGGCCACCAGTAGTGTACGGAGCCAAGAGGTTGTTCAAGATTGCTTGACAGCCCCCAGCCCCTGCATCGTTCATGTCCCTCTCACTGCTGCCTCGGGCTCTCTGTCGGCAGCAGGTGCAGCAGACAGTTTTAGAAAGAACATGCCTGGCATCGATCTTTCCAAGTTGCAGTGGCTTCTGCGGCGACAGTGAGGGTTCTAGAGCTTCACCTGCCTGGCGGCAGGATGCTCAGCCAATGGACGCTGCTGCAGGCCTGCAGCTGATTTGTGCCGTTCCGTGTGATGCAAATCGTTGCTGCCAGAAACTTGCTATGTAATCAGTGAGCACAACGCGCACATCCTGGGTTTCAGCTGCTGTGATTTTCAACGTATCTCCAGACGGTGGGGACTACGGCCCGACAGCGACGATGCGGCTGGCTGCCGGCACCACTGATTTGCTTGACCAATCCGACGAGGAGGCCGATCGTTTCTGCGACAGCCTGTCCCGACTAGTTGCGAGGCCTTTTGCGAGACACCGGAGATTTGCCAGGCTCCGGAGCTTCCCTCGCCCGAGGCAACAAAGCCACCGAGTGACTCAGAGGACGCCTCAATTCGCTCGCCCTCACTTAGACTTGCCCTTGCTGCAAATGTTTGATCCGAGCTGACCAGGAGTTGGAGTCCGAGCAGAGCTCCCTGGGAAGCGGCTTTCCGCGGCAGGACGCGGCCAGCAAGTCTGTCCCTCGTGCCTCGGTCCATCACTGCTGGGTCCAACGTGTGTCCACTACCGCACCTACGGCGCCGCGTCTCCGAGGCTCCAGCTCAGACCTGCCAAGTGTCCCGACTGACGACCTGGAATTGGACATGTCGCTGCCTGCTCGAAGCAGGGGGGTGCGTTTCACATGACGGATGTTCTGAAGAGACGGCAACTGCAAGCTGTCTAAGGCTGGGAAAGGCACACGAAAAGGCGACTGATGCAAAGATTCCAAAGATGATCTAAGCATTCGACGTCAGCCTGCGCGTTCCCCTACCTATGTTTGTGGTGCCAGGTTCCGCCGGCAATGATTCAGAATATGCTCGACCTGCTTCAGGCTGGGGCAGCTTAATGTCATGACCGCTGCGGCCGTCAGTTTGCAGAGCATGAACAAGTTGCCACCTCAATTACATCTACACATGTACTACATTACCACACCGTTTGTCCAGGTGCGGAGGCGGTCGTCAGCCAACACAGGAGCCGAAGCTTGGACGGACTATTCTTCGATACCCTTTGATCCAAATTTCGGACACGGCACGTGAAAGGCCCGCCTGATGCCCTGAGGCTGAAGGCGCTGTCTCGGCTCCATCTGTGTCCATCGCAACAAGCACTGCCGCCACGTTGGCTAACTTTGCTCAGGAGCAGCACGGCCACGGGTTTAGATTGTAGGTTGGGGCTTCACCACAAGTGGAACTTCAGAGTGGTTCTATATGGCTGAAGGACACTGACATCGAGCGTCTGATTGGCTCAATGGGCGGCATTGCCACTGGATTGAGAACAGAGCAGTTCTGGTGCCAGCGCATGAGTTGTTGCATCATGTTGCAGCGGTGGGGGCATTTGAATGCTTGTGGCCTCGCGAGGGTGGGCCCTTGATGTCATTCCCCAGATATCAAGTTCCAGTACTTCGACTCTTCACTCCCGGGTGGCTGAGGAGATTGTGCTGGAGTCCATCGGCACAGTTGATGCAGAGGCTGACCGACTGCCAAAAAAACCGCGGCTGTGCGTGTGCTGGTGTCTTCTGCTGCAAATTTTAAGCATCGTGGTGGAACACTCTGGCCGTGTGGTCCAGATGTGACACGGAAGCTCTGTGTGCAACATTGTACTGAATGAGCGTATGATCTGTTGTTCTGACGGACATGCTTCCAGAAGCTCTTTGAAGTATCATCGAATAGCAGTTACACCAGTGCAGAAGTGCACCCAAGCCACAGCTGATGCAGGAATTCCATCTTCAAGCAGTGAGGTTTCTCTGGAACATGCAAGCTGGCTGCAGCACTCATGCACTTGCTTTGGCGTGAGCCGCATGATTTCATGACATTGCAGTTGTTGAGGACTTTCTCCAAGATTAACCAGCAGCGGTGGGGGCCTTAGCACATCTCGAAGCTCCATCGGGTTGACTGACTGGAACATCCAGTCATCAGGACATCAGTGTTCAAGGATTGTTTTTGGCCGTTGCTTTCGTCTTGCAAGGTGGTGTAAGTAGTGCTGACGCTGTGTCACTGGCCTCTTTGTTTCTTCAGGCTTCATTGTCGGGCTTCTGAGTGTGGCGGGAGGTGTAGTTTGCTGAGATCTGTCTATAACCCTCCTTGCTTAACAACTGCGCTGGCTCCACGAATTCGCCGGCTCCTGTATGGCGAAAGTTGTCCTGTACCAAGCGATCTCGCATGGATGCGCTGCCCAAGGTTTATGGACAACGAAGGTGTCGAGCAGGTCCTGGTCACGGCCTGAGGGTGGGTACGGCCGGCTGTGAAATCGAATCTTTGAGCACCATATCGAAGTGACTGAGAGATCTTTGGGAGTCAACACCAACACTGCTGATGACCTTCGAATACCTTGGATTAGTGGCTGCTATCAGGCCATTCTTGGACGCCACTGCCAGCCGCAACATGCACAGCTGCAGGAACAGGGCTGCGGTGCTACCTGGCTTCAATCTGACTAGTGTAGAGCTTTTCGTGTTTCAGGTTGAGTTCGGAACACTGCGCGACAACGGATTCTGTCATTCTGCAAGTGTGCTCAGGTGCTTCGCAATCTGGCATACGGCCATACAGGAAGACACAAACTCAAGCTTCTGCAGTCTGGGGTCATCCAGTGCTTGTGCGAGGCCTGTGATTGTCGCAGTAAAATTCCCACCGTGTGCAGCTGCTCGTGGCCCGATCGGTTGTATGGATATCGTGAACCGCACGTATGACATCGCCGTTGTTCTGGTCCATGTGCTGGTGTCGGAGTACTTTTGGCGCTTTCGATCCGAGCAGATATGAGTAGTTTTGGCACGACCTGGCTCTCCCTCCTGGCAGGCACTTGAAAGATTCTACAGGGACGTCCAAGTTTGCCTGCAGGCAGTCGCAGGGCTGACAGCAATGTGCCCCCTGGCACAAATATACAAGTTGATTACGCATGTCAGTATGTTCCCCATGCTACAAGCGTCTTAAGGCAAAGCTTTTGCTAAGGCGACCGGGCTCCGCCAGCTGCTTTGCAAGCAAGCCAGAATGGGGCGATCACCTGGCTCGTGCTGCTTCGGCCGCAAAGTAGCGTAGGCAGCGTCTAAAACAACTGCCTGCCGCCGTGCAGTTGTTGCACTTGCACAGGAAAGCCTTAAAGCTCACCGGGGACAAAGTTGACATCACGCAGCAGATTCTACAGGCTCGTGGGTGCGTCGCATCAAATTCCAAACGATGCCCAGGGAGTCGTAAACTCCATGTTCAAAGATGTTCAAGCAATTCACTGCACAGTCGTCTTGTAGGCGCTGGCAAGCATCCTCATCATTCCGGAGGCCTGACTCTTCCCCAGCCTCCACTACAGAAGAGCATGCATGCAGGAGCTGGGAAGCAAAATGTCGCAAGTTGCACTCTGACAGGCGTTAACACCTTTTGGTCTTCGCGGCGGGCATTTGGAGGCTTCGGTGTTGATCTTGCCAGATCTTGCCAGCAGCCTGGTGCGGCGAGTTGTGTGCAGGTGCTCAAAGTGGTGGACCGGCTTCCGTCCGTCTGCGCCTGAGCACACAAAGCAATCCAGCAAGGCTTGCATTCCAGCGGGCAGAGTTGTGAAGGAAGCTGGGAGGGCTAAAGCGGCTGCTTTGAAACCAAATACCAGGATGGAACTTTGCTGCTGGCCTTCCGGACCTTGGCAGCGGCACTGAGCCACACAAAGCTAAAGGACCTGCATGTTGAAAGGATCTTTCTCGGAAGCTCTGGGAAAGCTCCACAAGACCCGGAAATTAGGCTTGTAACTAACATGCTCCAGTGCTCTTCCAAGAAGCTGCGCTGGCCGCACGAACGAGCAGCTTGGCGAACTGTGCACGTTGCGATGCTCTCCTTGAAGCTGCGCTCAGTGCAGGATCTGAAGGACCAGAACCTGGCTGCCATAATGGCGCAAGAGCTTGAGGACCGGACGGAAATGACGAAGGCTTTCCTTCTCCGCGCGGCTCAGTGCGGCAATGAGTCTCTGTGAGGAGCAGGAGGACGACGATAACCCGATGAGCCTCTCAGCGCTGTCTTACCCGTGTGAGGGTGTGTCTCACGCGTGTCCCATGCGCACATCTTGCGATGTCGCCAAAGTTTGGTGCAAGAAAATGAAGCCCAGATTGCTTGACGAACTCGCTCGTTGCAGAGGTGCCGCAGAGAAGGAGAACTTGATCTCGCAGTGGCAATTGATGAGCGATGCTCCGGGCTCGCAGTGGCTCGGCAAGACTCGCGCAGCAGCGAAGGGCTGGCAGGGGCATCGCAATGCAGGTCTCGGCTTTTGTGCGCTGTTTCCGGGTCAGAACGGCAACCCGACTGACCTGAGGATACGCATTGATCTGATGGATGCGCAGATCATTCGGAAAGTCGTCAATGTCCTCTGGCACCGAAAGGGAGCTACAGCAAAATATGACAAATCAGAATGCGGGCTTGCCTTACTCTTTTGGCGCCATCTTTTCTACTTTGTTAGGCTATGTTGCGTTTTCCTGCCGTGGATTCTGCTTGAGCTGTTACTTCTTTGACCCGGCTCTACAAGGCTTTGAGGAAGTTCCACGAGTATACGACTGCCATAGAGGCTGGTGCTCTGTGCTAGTAGCATGCCCCTTGCCCCTCCTGCATACCCTGTTTGGCCCCTGAATGAGGCCGCTGCAGGAGTTCTTCTGAACCTTACTCTGGAAGTCCATGAGAAGTTGGAGAAGGAAACTTCAACAGCGGGGCGGTGCGAGCTTGGCCTTTGCCGTTGCAGAAGTTGCAGGCTTCTGTGCAGTCGGTCATGTGACCCCAGGATGAATATCACTTGAACCGAAAGCTGGAAGTGGGGATGACTCGCGCCTGCATTGAACGGCATAGATGCGGTTGGGTCCTGTGCCGAAGCGCCACCTTTTTTTGGGGGGAGATGCAGCTCAGGGAAAGCCACAAGTGCCTCACGATTATTGGCCATTTGGCTGCTGAGACGTCCGAGAGCAACGCAGGCCGGAGAACGCCGTGAAACTCTGACCGGTCTCAGTCTGAATCGTGACGTGCTTCACAGGCTTTGCGGCGAACATGTTCTACCTCCTCGCTGCCGTATCGCTTAATGAGGAAGTGTCGCTCTTGCTCTACAGGGAGCAGGCTCAGCCGGCTCAACCTGTTGTGCACAACCGCAATGTCTTCAAGAGAAGTTGTGGGGAGTGTAGACTTGCATACAGCATTCACGAATGTGGCGGCCTGGTCCGGCTGGTTGTGTTCTGCAGGCTGCGGCCAGGTCTCTGCAGTACATGAAGGCCCGAGCACTTTCGGCCATCGCTCTGTAGTAGCCTGTCAGCATTCGCAGGCATACAAACGCCAGCCGCGCGTCCAGGCGGCAGGTCCGCGGAGTTGCCTTGACTTAGACCGCCTACTATCTGATTTCCTAGATGGAGAGAGCCTGCGCGTAAGTTTTTCAGACATCCTTGTGTGCAGGCGCGGCTTTTCTTAGTAATTTGGCCAAGACGAAGCTTCGCATCCGCGAGGCCATTTCAGGGCTCAAGTCTGCAGCACACTACAGTCAGCGTCCGTAGTCGCATCGATTTCATGGATCCTTGCAGACATTGGCGGGAAGATGCATGATACGTGATTCTTCTTGAGAAATGCACAACCGGTGGCCCACCGGACTTGCCTTGTGATCCTTTACAAGCAGCGCCCTTGCAGCGGTTTTGTTTCGACAAATGCTTTGGGGGAGGGACATAGTCCATCATAGTCCGTGCAGCGACCTCGAAGACGTCTCTGAACTCGCTCACCGAAACAAGCATCTGTCGCGAGACCAATCCTAGAGTTAGGAAAACCAGTTTTGTGTAGAGTGTAGAAGTAAGAATGCAGAGTGCAGGGCGGCTCCCGTTTTGCCATTCAAAAGTCCAGTAATGGCAGGCAGTGGTGGAGGTGGGCTGCATCGAGTACCTGCTATCGCTTCTTTCCGAGTGCAAGGACTCCGCAACCCGCAGCGCATAGTATCCATAGCACCTCGAAGCTCTAGCCGACCCAGCGTTACCATAATTGATTATGTTCTTGTGCGCGCCCATTGCATCGGATGTGCCCGGTTATTTTGTCGCAGATTTACTCGCATTCTCCCTGAGCGCTTCTTGCAGCCTCTATTGCGTTCCTTGTCGAGGGCTGTGGAGAGTCATGGGGTATCTGGGAGGTTGCATCGTAGCATCGTCAAGTAATTATGTGGAGCTCAGTTGGAGGCCAGAAATCACAAGCGAGCTTCGATATGTAGGGGCCATCAATGTATGCATTTGTCAAAACACTTCCGATCGGAAGTCATAGCTAGATGCTGCAGAGGGTTCCGAAAGACAGGAATGCAAACGAAAGCTCGCGGATCGCTTTTCAGGGAGGCGACAACTGAGCAGAGAAAGGGCACTGTCTTCTCTGAGCTGCTGAGATGCTGCATGGCACCACAACGTGAGGTGACCGGTCGCGCCGCAGTTCTGGAAAGTCTTCTGCAAACCGAAGTGTTTGGCAAGATGTGCAAAATCCTTAAATGGTTGTATCGTTACCTGGCCGAATGTGGAGGACGATGCAACGGTGGTCTCCGGCACTGCAAGAGCATCTTGGACTGAAATGAGGTCGCTTCATAAATCCTGAGACTTCGCCCCCGGGGTGGAGGGGCGTTGACGTGGCTTTCTTTGCTGAGGCGCTCAAGGATCTCCTGCCTGCCCAGGCCGGCTGCACATCAGTTCGAAGCAACTCCCGGTACCTATGCAGAATGCAGCACAGGCGGCCTACGAGATAGTCAGAAAGCACGACATCATCAATCTGATATTCGAGGCCTGGGATTATGCCATGCTTCCAGCTTACATACAAGTTTCTGCGGCCCAAGCCTTAAGCCAGGCAGTGGACCACCACGTGGACAATGCGAGACTTGGCTGGCCAGCGGAAGCAAGAGAGAGAGAGAGAGAGAGAGAGAGTAGCCATTTTGGCTCAAGTGTCTGCGCCTTTGTCTTGGAGGGCTGTTCACCCTCCTGACATTGGGGGGGAGGCGCAGGGTTGACCTGGGGCTGTGCACCTCGGGGGAGCCTTTGCGCTTCCTCCAGCGGGCGCTTGAGTCTTCCGCCCGCCGCCGTTTTGCTTAAGAGGCCCCTTTGCCAACGCACTCTTCTGAACCTGACCGCGGCCCCTCCTGGAGGGTGGCCCGCCAGTAGGGGGACGGAGCATACTTCACCATTGTGGAACACGGGGGGATCCAGCCGTACTACCTCCTCGCGATCAATGTCAAGATCCTCGAGATCCAAGCCGGAGGGGAAAGCAAGCCCCAGGAAAGGGAGAAGCCGAATGGAAAGAGAGCCGGCAGCCGAGCCAGCCAAAACAAAGACGACCTGGCAGGAACAGTGCGTGCTCGCAGAGAAGCTGAGGGCCATGGGGGTGACGTGCCGAGCGTGCTTAGAAGGCCCTTTTTACCACAAAAGCCATGACAGTGGTAGCTCCTGCTACAAACAGCGTGTGGCAACCGGGGGGATTGCCAGCACGGCAGCACCCAGCGACATGAGGAGAAGCAGGGGGCAATGGCAGATGAGCACGACCTCTACCAACCCCAAGGGGGGGGAACCTGCGAAGTGGCAGGAAAGAAGAGGCCCTACTCCGACTACGTCCGCTTTGAAAGTGAGCAGGGGACGGCACTGCTCTATGAGCCGGACCCGCTGGACCGCTGGATCGGGAAGAGCATCCAGAAGAACTGGAGGAAGGGGAGATACACAGGCCAAAGGACAGGGGAGATCCTCAGCGAGGCCGACGCCCAGGAGTGGGAGCAGTATGTTCAAAGACATAACGCGCGAAGAGAGACGGGGAGACAAGCCGGACAAGCTCGTGGCCATCGTCAAGGAGGGGAACCCAAAAGTAGTCAAAGAGCTCCTCCTTTACATAGCCAAACACCCGTGGAAGGTGGGGGCACTGCTTAGTCAAGCAAAACAAGAGTTCAAGGGCCAGCTCGCACCACCCACGGAGGGGACGAAGGACACCAAGACCGAGAAGAAGGGGGAGAAGAAGAAGAAGAAGAACAAGGACGCAAGCAAGCCCAAAAAGGCCAAGAAAGAGAAGAAGGTGAAGAAGAAAAAGCAGCACGAAACAGAGGAGAAGCAGCCAAAGCGTGAGACAAAGGCGGGGCGTCCACCAGACACCGCCCGTGTGAGCTCAACAGCAGCAGCCACGGGGAGCACCCCAACACGTGAAAGCAGGGAGACCTTCAACGAAGAAGACGTGGACTGGGGAGAGTACAAGCAGTGAGAGCGGGGAATTTTCCAAAGTTTCTTCAGGAGCTTGCAAAGATAAGCCTAATTCAAGACGGGCCGCTGGAGCCATTCCAACCTACTACCAAACAGGGCCACATGCCCTGGCACCTGCAAAAATTGGCATTGCGACAGAGACTTGCCGGCACCACTTTGATGGGAGATCTTTTCGCTCAACCTTTCAATAGGAACCTAGATGGAGGCTGTTTGCAGCGGGGGAGCCAGCCCACAACTTGTGCTTTAGCCTTTCACTAGCACTTGTTCGGTCCTCAGAGTGTTTGCACTTTCCTGGGGGGCGACCACCGTATGCTTGTTTCGAAGTGATGGGAACTTGCCTGGTGTAGGGACTGAGGATCTAGCCTTAGAGGGCGCGGGGATGAGGCCGGGATGCGGGCTAGTGTTCAGGGTCGGGGGGGGTCCCTACCAGGCAATCTCCACCACTCACACATCCCACAGGGAGCGTTCTCCGACCTTTCACCCCACAAGCCCTTTCTACCACCAACGAAGTGGGGAGAGGGGGGCCTTGGCCCGGGTCCGTGAACGCGGACTCTCCCCTCGCAGCCGAAGCCGAAGCCGAAGAGAGAGAAAGAGAGAAAATGGAGCCTTGGGGGGGGGGAGTTCCGACTGTGCCTCGGGAGCTCCGCCCGCCCAGGCCCTCCTCCAAGTAACTAGCCCTGTGGGGGAGCCTTAGCTCGCAGCCATAATCGCAGAGGGCACGAACATAATACTTTGGCCTTGTGTGCGACCTGGTTACTGCAAGAGCAGCCCCGTGCACATTGTCGTCGAGGAGGGGACAAAGGCCCACACCATCCTCTTTCAGCGGTCTCTGACCAAGCTTCGCCGGGACTACCACACCGCTGGGTGGGGGACTACCGCAACTTAACGGTCGTGACTGTGGCCTGCAGGGGGAGATAGCAAACTTCCGTGGCTATGACTACCTGCAGACTGTGCCGCTTCGGCGGGGGAGTGTGTCAGCCAGGGTTCCGAAAGGTTCACGTGCGAAGTGACCCCCAATGCCGCTTGCATGGGATCACGGAACGCAGAAATATCCGCGTGGGGGAGGCCAGCTACACACCTCCACCGGAACCAGCTGCTCCAGTTGAGGGGGCGCTAGACCGCTAGACACCAGGACGGCTTTCAGAACGGAGGGGGGATTGCACTTGCTTTTCCCGCAAGACGCACTGGACCGGTGGGTGAACACAGAGGTCAAGACCAATGATGAGGGGGATTTCTTCCTCGCATCGTCGGGGGAGGCCTTGACACCAGAACAAGCGGGGGAGTATACCGCCTACCAAGCAAGACTCTCCCATCGTTACCGACTTGGAGACCAAGCTAACCGCCTCGTGCGCATCGTCGATAAATGGTTGCCCCGCGTGGCAGCCGAAAACAGGGCTTATGCGATGAGATTCCCAGAGCACGTGCCAACGCTTCTGGAAAAAGCTTGGGCGTTGAGGAGGAAGCTGAAGTCACGCCAAAAGCTGGCAGGGGGGAACCGGGGGGCGTCAAGCTCCACACCTTCAGCTCGACAACCAGTGCCAGCCCAAGCTGTGGGGGAAGTGCCAAGGGGCAGTGTGAAAAAGGAGCCCAGCGACTCGGACACACCACCAGACTGGGGGAGCCCAGACGAAAGCCCGAACAGGGAGCTCGTGGAAGCAGAGCCAGAGCGTGGGGAAAAAGACAGCAGCGAAGAGCGAGAAGACCGAGCCAGTGGCCAACAGCGGCCAAGCGAACCTGCGGGGGCCACCACGCCGTGACAGAGGTGGCCTACAGCGACCAAGTGAACCCGCGGGGGAGCCACAGCCAAAACGCTGCCGCCTTCCTGCAGACCTGCCTTGTGAGCCTGAGGAGGCCCCTCCAGCACGGGGGGGACAGGCAGTGGAACTGGTGCCGAGTATGCACTGGCAGGTCCAACAAGTCCAGAGCTATATGGCATGGCAGAGACAGAGACATGATGCGGAGTGAGCGTGGCAAAAATTTTTCCGTGATCGAGTGATGCCTAAAGGGGGGGACTTGGGAGAGCCTCTTTGCTGGTAGCTTGTTTCGAGTTCGCTTTGCCTGCCCTTTTTACTCACAAGGCCCCTTCGAACTCCACTTTATAATGGGGGATTTTACCAGTTTGCCCTTGCCGGGGGAATGCATGTTTTCTGTACCATATGTGCCATAAACCACCTGCCCTTGTCCTTTGAACGCTATCCGTCGCTACACGACGGCTTTCTTTCCGCCTGCCGCAATTCGTTGCACTCCGTCGACACGACGATGACTGTTCCGCCCCACTGCCGCTAATTCGTCCCGCTTGCTTCGAAGCAGGGGGGATTACAATTCAGCAAGCTCCCTTTGTCGAGTAATGTGGCCTACGTGACTTAGTGGTGTGGGTTTGTTTCTCTGAACACCAGACAAGGGGGAGAACTTCCACCGGCACTTTTCCCTTTCGTGTTGCCTACAGCAGAAGCTCCGAAACATTGCAGCGAAACCCGCCTAGAAGGACTTAGGTACGTGGCATGGCTAGCCATAGGGGCCCGGAGATGAGGCCGGGATGCGGGGGGTTTTAGTGTTCTAGGCGGGGATCTCTGCAGGAAAACCTGGAGCCTACTGCGTAGTTCTTTGCCGTACTCAGGAAAGACCCCATTGCCAGCCACTCCATAAACACAGGGTGTGGCTGGGCGGGCCGAAGGCCTGGGGGCGCTCGCGCGACCCTTAAGCCCTGCAGAAAAAAAAAGAGAGAGAGAGAGAGAGAGAGAGAGAGACAGAGAGACAGAGAGAGAGAGAGAGAGAGAGAGAGAGAGAGAGAGAGAGGAGGGGGAAAGGAAAACCCAGAAGAAGAAGAAGCACAAGGAGAAAGCCAAGAACAAGAAAGCCAAAAAGGACAAGAAGACCAAGAAGCTGCGTGGGGGAAAGGAAGGGACCAGCGCTAAGCCAACAGCTGGTGCGGAAGCAGCCAAAAGCTCCCTGGTTCGGCCAGACAGCCGGGGGATAGACCGGCCAGCGACGACGACAACCACCTTCAGGGGACACCGCAGCCGGGGGAAGCGCAGCCGTCAGCTCCAAGACGAGGCCCAAGAAGGACACCAGCTAGCTCCAGTGCTGGGGGGGCGACCAGACCAAGGACGCCGAGCCGCAGCCCGAGACGACGGAGGGAGACGCGAGAAGGGAGGAGCCCAGCCAGAGCAGCCACAGGGGGAGCGGCCAAACCCAGGACACCGAGCCGCAGCCCAAAACGAGCCCGACTGGTACCAGGGCCCACATGGAGAGCTATACGACGTGTACAAGCACACATGCGTGGGGAAGACACCGAGAACTACAAGCAGTGAGCGTGAAAGGGGAATTTTCCAACCGGGGGAAGGCTTTTTGCCACCCTTCAATAGTAGCGTGTACGTCACAGTTTTGCAAGGGAGCCGACTGCCTGTGAAGAGTCTACCTTCAGTGCGGGGTGTTTGCTTTAGGGCTTTTCGTGCTTGCTGCTGGCCCCCTAGCCTGCATGTCCTTGGGAAGCCAACTTGCTACCTAAGTAATAGGACGGGCCGCTGAGCCATAACCCACCACAGTGCATGGGCCGAGTGCCCAAATTCAACAGGAATTCTGAGGGGACACCTCCACAACAGTTCGTGTTAGAGTTCTGAGGGGCGACATATTGCGGGGGACCCCAACGAGGGGATTACCACTCCCTACTGTTGCCAGCTATTACATTACCTCTCGAAGGGGAACCCGCCGTCTTCGTTACCTGCACGGTTGCTTGTTTTCGCTGTTGCTTCCTACTAACCACGCGGGAGACCCGAAGTAGCTGACTAATGTGGCCGAAAGGGGAACGAACCTGTACTTGTGCTACGCTGTCTGCGCACTGATGACCCCACACTCCCTGAACGTCCTGTGCTTTGCCGTGTTGCTGCATAGGGGGAGTGTCTACCGGCCGCGGTGGTTCTGCGCGGGGGGAGTACTTGGCTGGCGAGGGACTATCCTAGGACCTCTTCCACCGCCTAAACGGGGAAGGGGGGGCCTTGGCCCGGGTTCGCGTGCGAACCTAACCCCTGAGAAGCGAAGCCAAACGAAGAGACAAGCAAGAGAGAAGAGAGAAGAAAGGTGTAGGGGGTAAAGCCGCTGCACCATAGCCCTGGCGAAAGGAAGAAAGGAAAGAAAGTGAGAGTGAGTGAGACCGCCCCGTAAGCCCAGCAGAAAGAATGAAAAGAGTGAGACCGTCGCGGACCGAGGAGAGGTATGCCTACGGGCAAGGGTGCGTGCACGCATACCCCATGCAAGCAAGCAAGCGAGATCAAGAAAAAAGTGAGAGAGTTAAGAAAGAGCCTTGCTCTGTGGAAGAAAAGCCCGGCCAGAATGTGAATCTTCAATCTCGAAGTCACTTACCAATACCACTGGGTGGGCACTGATGCATTGATATGTCGTGCGGCCAAGCCCAGCGCGAAGAGGAACGTGTGGCTCTGCTTCGATCCTTGAGCCCAACTCGTCGGGAAACTGGAATGCAATGCCGTCAGCAGACGCAGGCCTCTAGACAGACAGATTTGCCAGGTGCAAATGGCGTCAACAAAGGCTCAGTTCTTCCTCTCGGTGTTATCCAACATCTGCCACTGATTTTAGAAGGCAAAGCAAGCCGACATGTCAGACTAATGCAATCGATCGAGTAATTCTGGAAGCGGACGCTAGGAAACAAGGCGATGACGGATTTGTCGGTGACTGGAGAGTTGGTGTTTCCTTGTTGACGGGCTGAGACTGGCTGAGGTGATGCGCAGATCTCAGATGACGTAGGTCGTAGGTGCATCAATGACGGCAGAGTGTTGAAAAGAGCAGTTCAGGAGCAGTTCGCGCTTTGAAGGTTCGTTCCGGGTGTCTGAGCCATTGAAATGTATTCAGCTTCTTGCATGTCAGCAGAGGTGGTTCTTAGTTCTTCGAGAGGGTTTGGCACTCCGGGCCTCTGCCGGGTCGAACAGGTAGCTGCACAAGACTTTCCAGGAGCTTCAAGGCATTCGAACTTACACCCCGCCGGTCTTACTCAGGCCGCTAGGCGCCGGTTTCTCACTCGCTGTTCTTGGATTGCAATAGTCACGAGTGCAATCACGCGACCACGAAACCGAGGGATGCAATGGGCGCCAGTATGAACCTGCTGTGGAGTCTTCGTGGCAGCCAGTTGCAGAGACATTATCTGCGGCGATGTTGTTGTTCGGTCTATGTTACATATGTTTACATGAGAATCTTTGGCATCGTAACGGCAAGCTTAAGTTGCCCGTGACTGGCTTGCTGATTTGGGTCCAGGGCCCTTGCACCCGTCCAGGCCAGGCCCAGTGGTCTGCTCGAGTGTGCTGATCTTGTCGCGTGTCTCGTTGCTCCAGCACGAGTCTTCGAACATGGCACGCGAAACGGTTTTGTGACAACGATCGAAATGCACAGCTAAGGACCCTTTCCGCGCTGTCCGGCTATGCCGAACAGCTCAACCGAGTCTTGACACAATTCAGCGGCTTGGGATGGCTGCTTGCCAGCCTTGTTTGTGTTTGCCGAGCGTTAATCGAATGATTACAAACGAACTCGATTCTTCTGGGGTTGTGAATTGCAATTGTTTGAGGACATCACGCAACAAAGTCTGTGAATGTTTGCGACGGAACATTCAATTCAGCTAGTCCCGCTATGCATCGTCCTGTCCAGGAATGCCGTCTTGCTTGAAGCACAGAGCCGGACATGCCAAGCCAAAACGCGGAAGTTCGAACATCATTGAAACACCGATTTCTGGCCAGTCTTTGGCATCGGGAATGTTGCAACTTTTTCTCAGAGCTCGGATGTGGAATGGAACAGCACCACATGTACAATTTCTACTGTAGCAGGTGTGAATATTATACCACCAGATCGGCTGAACTCAGAACAACACGGGCGTTGGGCTTTGAACAGTGCGGACCGTGTCTTGCTCGACGCGAAAGTAGTGACACATCTTCTGGCCGAGGTACAGACGCAACGGTGCGTGCTTTGCAGGCCTTGTTTTCGCGGTATACTTCAATGCAATAATGGTTTCAGTGCAATGCCCTGCGATTCGGCTCGGCACATCTGCAGGACGCACGGGTAAGTTGGGTAACCCCTTCACAGACGATCAGGACGGTAGCATTGGCCGGTATACCTGACAGACTCAGGCCCTGCGATTGCACCGAATGCACCACGAGGCCAAGAGCATAAGTTTGGAAGTTGTGCTGCTGGCAAGTTGTCCTTGCATGGATGTATGCAAAACGGAAGTCTTTTCGGGGCGCAAGGTTTGCAGATGCTGCGGTGGCCTGCTGCGCAATCTTCTGTCAGCTCCGCTGAGTTCCTGAGCCCAAGCAGGGAAGAGAGCTTGTGAAAGTAGAAGCATGCCATCACATACGAAAGAGAGAGGTTTGTCTAGGAGAGCCGCAGTGATGTCTGGAGTGTGTTGTAGCTGCCGAGCTTCACCGACCGTTCATGAAGTTAGCCCGAGCCGAGATCAGAAAGCTGCGGCCACTTGTGTTGATGGAGGCGGTCTGAGGCAGGGCCTTTATCTACAGATGTCGCTTGGAGTGTCTTGCCTCTTGATAGTCTCGAAATAATGCAATCCAAGACAATCCAAGATAACAGCGCGGGCCCTTCTTTGTTGCAGGCTTTATCAGTTTTGGGTCGCAGGCTTGCGGGCTATGGTAGTATGGTAGGTTCTTGTGTCGGGGCCCTTGTATCCGCTGTTCGATCTACTGCCCACCGCCCATTCATGGTCATTTTCCGGAGTTTGACTATCGCGTTCTGCACCAACTGCGGTGAGTTGCAAGCTGCACTCTGATGAAATTGCAATTTCCAGGCTCATGTATTGCGGCAATCTGAAAGGGCATCGTATATTTGTTCGCCGCATAATGCGACCCTCAGATTTTACTTTCTCGATAGGGTTCACCACACCGGGACAGCAACATGATCTCAACAGTTTGCGCGCTCGGAAATGTGCCGTTGTCCTTCCCTACACGGAAGACGTTGGGCCTTGAGCAGGTTGCTGCTGACCACTCTTTGGCACCACTGCCTTCCCGATGAGGCGCAAGTTCTTGTGATTCATTCCCTCTCTTCGGCCTCGGGTTGAAGGGAGCTGACAGCTTCAAGCCATGCCCTGCGGCCCTGGGCAAGCCAACAAGCCACCTTAAACGCACTGCTTACACATCCTTCTTCTGAAGGCTGCAGCCATGGGCAGAGCGACCGGTCGGTGCCTTGGAGTTGGAGCACTTCGGCTCTGCGACAGGGCATGATGTAGACAATGGGCAGGAACGGCATAGCATGTAGAACATCTATCTGGTAACTGTTGATAGTTGAATACGCAACAAATAGTAGGCCAGTAGGCAATCTATTTACATATGTGTATACTAGTAATCTAAGAGTAACCTAACTGTATATACAATATGTTTATATACACCTATTTGTCATATACCATGCCGGGTAACAGGTAATGGGCACTATGTACTTTAGAACATACACATCTGTTCATACAGTGTGTGTAGATAAGAAAGTATGCATCATGTAGTATGCAATCCGCATTGTGTCCGAAATACTGTATAGTGTATAGTACATTCATATGTAGGAAATACTAGACAATGTTTATAGACGGTAGCACCGTGCCATCAAGTTATATCAACTTTAAAGCGTTCTTCTACACTAACTAGTAAAAAACCGCGCACAAAGCGCTGCAAGACTCAGGCCTTGCCGGCCTTCTACACAGTTTTACTTGTACAAGAATGCGCAAAGCACTGTAAAACTCTGGCTTCAGCGTATATGTACATACTCACTGATTGTAAACAACCACCGATGTGTTTAACTAAAACTACGCAATAGCAAAATATTCATACACTAGTACCTATACCTATGCACATTTGCATTGCATCTGATGTTCCACAGCTACTATCCAACGTATTTATTAAACATACTATTTCGTTTGTTCATATATAACGTAGGAAACAGTACATATCACAAAACGTGAGTAACATGTAATTTAATATGTGCTGCTGCCCAGTTGCTGCGAACAGAACCAGCCTTCAATCCTTGGACGGGCTGGATGTGGAGTATGATCCAGGACCCGCTTGTTGCTTATGATCTACGGAAGGCTTCTCAAGTAAGCATGTTTTATCAGTATATCTGAGCTGCTGTGGCTGCCTCGAGGCTACAGTGCTGAATGCGTAGCCTCCAGCCATAGTTTCACATATTTCCATCCTGAGCGTATGGCAGGCTGCCAGTGCAGGAAAATAGCTGACTTCTCTTGGCAGGCGCAGAGGCTGAACTCGCAGAACGCAAGCGGAGATTGTCGCAGTTACGCCGCAGGTCCCAGACAGGCTCGGGCCGAATGCTTGGGAGGATGAGGTCACAGACACGGGAATCTGGAAGGTCATGATGGTCCGACCAGACGGGCATCCGTTGCCAGTGTTGGCTCGGCTGGTCACGGCAACAGGCCTGGTCTTGTCACAGCTGGAACGGATTGCCACCCCTCGAGGCTAGTCAGAGATGCCTGCATTACACCCGACGTTGCAGGAGAGGTTCGAGACGCAGCAGCATAGGCCGCAGCACCACTTGGCAAGTGTCAACCTTTCCCTTCAGACAGACACCGTTGCATATCATCGCAGGATCAGAAGCCGATCTACGAAATACCCATTTCGAGGCGAGCTGTCGTTGAAGCGTGGAGGTAATGCAGAAGTGCAGGGTGGCACGGATTTTCATGTCTTGCTGGGCTAAAGCGCTTGACCAGACCGGCGATGAAGACAACTCTGACAGCATGGCCGTCGCCGACGCTCGGCAATCAGTATTGTGCAGCTTCGGATCTTGTTAAAACCCTCGCCGAATCGCAACGTCCAGTATCGTATCAGCCATGCTAGCGTTGCTTTGTGGCCAGGAGCAGGTACTGGCTGCTTTAAGAAACCTGTCGGCTTTCAGAGCCTTGGCATGGACTCTTTGAGGGGAGGGGGTAGTCGTGTTTCCGTGTCTTGGATGTCTTGTGTGTGCGAAGTTATGAAGGGGCAGGCTCCGCAATATCAACTCTTCATCATTGCCTGCCATTTACCATCGACAAAGGCCACGTCGCAGCAGAGTTGGCTGAAGAGGTTTTCGTTAACGAGGACTCTGAAAAGCACGATGCCAGCAAGCTTGCGATTGGCAAGGTTTCAGCAGACCGCTTCTTCTCATGGACGACGTGTTGACTGTTGTTGAATCCCGCACATAGTTGAAGCCCACATAGGCTGCAACCGTGCAGAGTGGCTTAATGTGGCCCGGGCAGGAGTGGGACCAGTTGAGGACTGTTGTGGAGGTGTACTCCAGGAGCGCCGCTCTTCAAAATTAGACTTCTGAGGCGTGCTATTGACTGCCACTGCCTACCGGCTAGGTAGTGAACGATAGCATGCAGATGGGTGCTGTGCGGTGCTGGGGCTTCGCGATTGACAGGGCCGTATTCAGCCTTGTACCAGCACAGCCACACAATCTCAGTCGAGCATGCGAGCTAGAAGCATGCACCGTCTGTCGTGACAGGTCATGGTTCAGCAGCCTGGCTGAACTGGATACCGGCAAGTCGCCTCGAGAAGCATATCTAAAATCTGATCAGTCGTCAACGTCGCGACTTCAGGTTGCCGTGGATGTTTCTGGAGCAGTGGATCTGTCTACATTATGTAGGTCCCGGTTCCACTAGGCCAAGGTGAACCAACATGTGCAAGCTTCACAAGTGCACCTCTGATGCCGTGAGCCATGGAAACAAGTATCATGTGCTCAGGTTTCAGGGCTTCGACTTGATTGGGCGACTGGTCAATGCCAAGCGGGTATCGCGACTCAAAGGGCAGCAAATCGTGTACTATCCTCGCAGGCAAATTCGCAAGCCACATCTGCAGAAATCTCTCAAGATGAAGGTGAGTCCTGTAACTGTTGTACCGGAAGCCTTGTCGCCCAGTTGTAGCGCCTTGTCACCTTTGCCCCCAGCTCGCTAAGGACTTGCGCAGGGTGTTCCGGCGCATCTCAGTGCCCAGTCAGAAAAAGCAGGCAACCTCAAGGTCACACACTGAATGTTAAGAGAGGTTTCTGTATGCGACGGACCACCTGATGCCCAGGTCTTGGGCGACCATGCACCAGCAACTTTGAACACGTATCTTCATGCGCAGTAAGGTCGAAGCTGAACGGCTCAAAGTGTGCCACCTAGACCTGCAAACCTGACTAAACCACAAAGGGCCGAAACCTCTATCCCCGCGCAAGCAAGCACTGCAAGTACTGTATGCCAGGATGTCACGCAAGCACTGACGGAGTTCAGAATGGGGTTCTTGGCTTGGCCCCAGGCCATCCAGAAGATTTCATCACGAATAAAGTATAACCAATGCACAGCGAGGATGCTAGATACCAAATACGTTCGTTGTGCAGGTACACGGAGTTGATCAGACTCCGCTTCCCCCATGGTGGATAGCTTCGTTGGCACAGGTACCACCATGGGCCTGTGCCCCCTGCTGTGTACTCTGCACTCAAGTTCAGTTATATGTAAATCGTAAATAGGAAATGGCTGCAGAGCGTGAGGAGAAGGCCCTTGGATACAGGGTTGTCACACACACACCCCGCCGTAGCGGGGTGAATTAATCAGACGAAGACGGTGAGCATGTAGAGCAGGTAGAGCCGTCGGGTGAACTTGCAGGATCTGGCAGCGGTGCAAGGAAAGTCGGTGGAGAACTTCTCGGAGAGGAGTTGGCAATTCGTGCCTTTGAAAGTGACGTCGATCAACATGACGAGCGTAGACTCTAGGTGCCAGTAGACCAAGGCAAAGTTGCCAACGATGACGAAGTATCAATTGGCTCATTATGGAATGTAGTCGACGGTCAGCGAGAAGTAATGCGTGAAGTACGCTTGGAGATGGTGCAGTTGTGAACATGCTGTACTGGTAACCGCAGATGTTCGGGTCATAGTAATCCAGTCGTTGGAAAGAAGGATTGAGTTGACAAAGTCCATGGAGGGTGTCGAGGTAGTAGCGGTTCTGAGAGGTCGTGAATCGGTGCTGTGAAATGACAAAGCGTGGGTCAAGGAGGGTGCTGGGGATCTGGAGATCGGGGGAGGTCATCGGACGAACTTGCCATACTCGGAGCTCCACCAGGTAGTCAAGCCACCATTCCAAAGGAATGTCGAGTAGGTGCGGGGCCATGAGTGTACGGGCGACGAAAGGAAGGAAAGGAGAGGCGGAGGACTAACCAAATATTGCTGAAAAGGCTGCGGTAGATCAAATGGACCACGGTCAAGATGCACAAGTGAGGGTCTTTGTCTCAAAATTGCCGTCAGTGTCCTCCAAAGCTTCACCGTCTCAGAGCGGGGAGAAGACCGTGTCGTTGTTGTTCCTGTTGCCAATAAGGATTGTCCGTTGTGATGGGTGGAGGAGGCGAGTGGCGGCGAGAAATCGTAGGTGTCCATTTGGAAAAGGAAAGGCAATGCGCTGAACACCAGCATGTGGTAATCCAGGGTCCGGACGAAGTAGGTCGCCACTGTGCTAGGGTAGGATCTCGAATACGAACACGTAGGCAAAGTCGTGATGCAGAACGTAGATGGACGTGGGCTCGCCAACACAGTCGATTGCAGTATACGATGACCGAGGGCTGATAATGATAGATCGTGAACACCGTGTTGTCGTGGTGGAAGCCAAAGAAGTTGTGGGCGCTCATCTTGTGATCTTGAAGGGCGGCGAGGAACTGTTGCCAAACGCCATATTGATGCCAGGAACAATCACCGTGATGTGCGGTCAAAATGGAGAAGGCGGAGCGGGTGGTGTGGCGGTCATCAGTGTGTGGACGTTGGCAATGACGGGGATCCAATTGTATCACAGTCTGCATCTCGAAATAGGAGAGGATCATGGAGAGGACGTCAATGAAGGAAGCCATTCGTGGGTGAGGTAGGGAAACCAACTGTGTTTGTACAGAAAAGCTGCGGTAAAAAGGCTGCGGGTATGGGAATGACGAAACGGAGATGTCGGGGCATGTTTTCCAGAGCGGGATCTCGTTGGAATCAGGTACTCAGAAGTTCGCGGACGGACCGTCGTCTGCGAGCGGCACAATCCCGGTAGATGAGTGCCAAAGGAATGAGTTGGTCTTCTGGTAGGTCATAGCGGCGTCGTATCCGTAAATTGTCCGAAGCTGCAGTGGGTCCTCCTCGTTCATGTGCTATGATGTCCAACATAATGCGGGCGCGATGTCTAATGCAGTTCTGCACGTCCTGATAGTACGGGGAGGCAGGAGTGCATTGGCGCCATTGTCGGAGCCACTGTTGTCGGCGACGTTCTGCGGCATCTCCATGGAATGAAACGGTGGAATGTGTAGTGCCCGACTTGCTGCGGCGTACTCGATGTAATGTATAACCATTTCCTCGGGGAGGAATTCGGACACGAGGGAGAGCGTCCAATGTTGCTGAAGGAGGATTCGTCGTGGCTGGTGTAGCTCCTGTCGCTGGAGTGGTAGTGCTGGTCCACGAAGGTGTCTTCCGTGGACGTTTCTTCGAACGGGACGAGGAGGTAGGTGGGTCCACTCTTTGTAGTTCCGTAGTGGGGGACAAAGAAGAGGATGAAGACGATGAAGATGTCGAAGATGATGTTGACGTGGCCTTGGAAGGTCGAGATGATGTGGAAGAAGAGGAGGTAGTATGGTGGCGATGTCGTCGACGGCGTTTACTGGGTCGTGTTCTTGGGAGAGGAGAGGGAGAAAGAGGAAGGGTGCGATGAGGTGTGGGGTCCCCATCGACATCTGAACCTGCGGGAGGTAGACCAGCATCATGTGCGGAGGAGGCGTCCAGGTCTGAGTCCATGTCCGGGTCTGGTGTCCAGGTGACGTCGTCCAAGAGATAGGAATCGGGGGATGAACCGGCCATGACTAAGGGCTCTGGTGGTAACTTGACCTAAAATACCTGCGAATAAATCAACGAACGGAAGGGCGCCAGTTCAATACACGCATGGGAGCAAGTTTTCCGGGGGTTCACTGACTTGTCGCCAACGTAGTCCAAAACGACGAAGTACGGACCGGGATGCGTCTTCGAGTGAGCGTTCAGAGAAACCTCGTTCACGATATAGATGAACAAGTTCACGAACTTGAGGTGCAATGACGGCTTTGGGCCAGGATAATCGGCAAATGAGATAGATCCGCGTGGTAAGTCCCTGAGTGTTCCTGCGTGTCGAAGAGACTGAACACGGAGAGCGCAAAGAGATACTGTTCCGTGGGAGGACAAGTCGGATGGAACGTTGTGCGGTGTCCACGACGGTGCCCAACAGTTCTTGTCCCGGAACATGTTCCAATTCCAAGGGAAGGCCATAGAAATGTGGATGTAGATATACCTCTTGGAACCAACCATACGATGACGTAGAGGATGAAGAGAGAGGATCGTGGCCTCGGTGGGAGTGGTGTCGTTGGCAGTCGTCCAGGGATTCCAGTTCCCCATCCCAAATCCGAAGGAGGCAACGATTGTCCACATAGCGTGAAGAACAGAAATAACGAGAGGTCAGCATCTGATCGCGAATGAGTTGGTGGAATGTGGCTTCCCACAGGGCTGCGGTCGCTCCGCACATTGAGGGGGCCATGGGTGAGCCCATAGAGGCCCCGCGATGTTGTACCAAAATCTCCGTGCCAACTGTGAAAAAGGAGTGACGTAGCAAGAACATAACCAATGAAGGTAAGTCACGAAGGCATAGAGGTTTGTAATGTGAACCGGCTTTTCGATATCGGCCTCGAAATAGGCGACCAAGTGAATTGCGGTCCCGCATCGTGATCTGTATGTCAGAGTCCAAGGGAATCTGTTGGTGGCGAGCGAACATGTCTGTCAACGACGAGATCGAGTGGTAAATGCGATCATGTGGAACCGAAGTGAAGAAACCAGAAAGATCTTGTTGAAGTAGCTGAAGTTCCACGGTGACCGGGTTGTTGCGGAAGGCATGGATGAACGTCTGGATGATGGAGTGGACGGTAGGAGAAACGAACTGAGGTGGAACAACCGTCTGTAGCATCTGTAGGACGGCGGTGGAAAGAAATTTCGCGAGCGTGGCACACCACGTGTTGGAATAGCTGACAATCGGGCGACCCTTCAAGAATTGTTTGGAGGGCTTGGGGAGCACGTAGGCGTACGGCAAAGATTCTTTGGGTGCCAGGGCCCAATGATAACGTGTAGGAACATGTCGTTTGATGGCTCGTTGTATATGTTCCGATAGCTGCATCGGGTTGGTGTCTCGTCGCCAGAAAACTGCAGGATCCAGAAAGGTCTTGGTCAAGATGTCGAAGTATTGTTGAGGACAAAATGCATAAGCCAAATGCGGTCCATGATCAATGGGGGAGATCACGATGTGCTCTGAGCTTTCCCGTAAGTTCTTGAGTTCGCGTAACTGTCTGCCGTCAGGTCGCATCCGTAGAGTTTGGCTGTGTAGTTGCCATTGGTGTGAGACAAAGACTTGCCAGCGAAGTAAGGATTGGTCAGGTTGTCGCCACAACTTGAACCATCGGTTCAAAGGGGCCACTGTAAACCTGCGAAATTGAGATTTGGTCAACCATCGGCCGTCGCTCATGTTTTCCCGATAGATGGATTCGTTCAGAACGACATCGGCCGGGGCTGCGACATGATCCGAGGGTGTGCGTTGTCCTGGTAGTTGTTGACAACAGCACAGGAAGGGTTTCTCTGGGTCCCACTGTCGTAGCCATGCGTGGTGATTGAACAAGGTTTGACCAAGCGTAGGGGCCTTTTTCTCGGTAATGGTGTATCGTGGTAGGTGGTAAGGCGGGAACCATTCTCGGTGATGAAGTATGTAGCTGTCCAACCAATGTTGAGCTTGTCGTAAAAAGTCATGAGCCAATTGAGGAAGAGGAAGTAATCGGTGACGAGGCGGGATATCTCCTCCTTTGTAGCGAAGGGCTAGACGTAAAGCTTGTAGGGCACGTGTTTGATGTGGCTCATCCACGAAGACAAGGAAGCGAACGAGTAAGTAAAGGTAGGCGATCGGAGTGCTATTCCGACGTAGAACTCGT